CTTAACTGCAACTTTAGATAATTTCTTAGAAATCAGATTATCAAATAAAGCGATTTACACAAAGAACGTTAATCCAACTTCATTGCATATTGACGTCAAAAAACTTCTTTACAAAAAAGTTAAGATTGTGTAAAAAATATTCCGTCGCTGTGTGCTTTAAGGTGGGCACATTCGTTCCCATTTACCGTTCAATATGTTGCAATCAATGTCCAAGGCAACCTTTTTATATTTATAATAAATTGCAAAAGGATCGTTAACATAGCCCACTTGTCATAATATGGATTTAAAAACTCTGAAATATTTTAACGTCCGCAGTGTTGTGTGTGAGTATTCAATTAATGTCTAAGAACACAAAGGCTTTAAATTGGATGCATCAACAATAAAACGAATTTATAGGAGGAGATTGCGAGAGACGTTCAAATAAATGGAAACCACCCTAGCTGCGACAATCCTGGCATACATGCTGTATTGCAAAAAGTGAGCAGTTTGGAATTTTGGATGCTATCAATAGTTAGATAACAATTGCGGTTTGTTATGAAACTCATAGTTTTGGTTCATGTAGGTTTAACTATGTTACATCAAGTGATTTCTTTTTTAATAAAAATTACAACTGTTTTGTTAATATTGATTGTTGCGCAACCTATTATTTTCTACACAACGCACATCTACAATTTCAACGGCTTTGTTTAATTGTATTTAACTTTCAGCGATTTCTTGGTTAGACCAATCACATGTGAGTCGCATTTTTTTACCATTGGGTGGGTTGTCACGCTTGTGTTGAAATCATTTTTTCTTTAATCGATGGCTGCTGCAAAGCCATGGGATCGGGACGCCAGCTTTTCGTACGAACAATTTACTGTTGACACTCTTTAGTTTGGTTCCAAAAATTATCAATGGTGGTATCGCAGGTATCGTGGGCGTGTCCTGTGTTTTTCCCATCGACTTAGTGAAGACACGCCTTCAGAATCAACAAAAGGGCGCAATGATGTACAAAAATTTGTAAGTAATTATTTGAGGGGAAATGTTTGAACTTAACTCATGAGTGTTCTTTTGTGCCCCACTTTTCTTTAATTTTTGTGTTTCGTCTGGTCTTTGGCTCTGTAGGTTCACAGCGTTAGACAACGCCTAAACTTCTAAGTTTGGCCATACCAAAATGCAAACCAATGTGACGCCTAACTCTTTTCATTTACTATTTGTATTCACCTTTGTATTCAGCCTCGACTGCGCACGCAAGGCTTACCAAGCTGATGGGTTTTTTGGAATGTATAAGGGTAAGGAACATTATGTAAATGGTATTTTGTTTTTTTTATTCGTTTTGTATTCGTAGTGTCCTTTGGTTAATATTTTAGCCCACGAATTTCACAAGTATATTAATTTTACATAAAATTATTTAAATTATCGATATTTCGCGCATTTTTTGGACACTTTCTGCTCTACTACAACATTAGACTGCTCTTTTTATTTTCAGGTTCGGGTGTGAACCTTCTTCTTATTACCCCAGAGAAAGCTATAAAACTTGTTGGCAATGATTTCTTCCGGTATCATTTGAAACAGGATGGGTAAGCTAGCCGAACCTTTAATCAACTCGTGACCTTCTCCCATGTAACCTGGAATTCGCTAAATTGCCTTACTTGCCTAAATTGCCTAAATTGCCCCATTGAGACTGCGCTAATTATGTAATGCATCTCGTTCCTCTGGTTGCCTATCTAGTCTCTTTGCAACAACTTGTAAGAAATTATTTCTCAGTGAATTGGTTCACTTCTCTTTTATACAGTTCGAATTTTTTTAATATCGTGTTTCCACTCCTACACTGTGCAGTTGAATATTATTTCAAAGTTTGCTTAAACCACCGAACGTTGATTGCGGAAAACGCCTTGACATTTCTATGACTTTGAATTAGGAAGGTACATGTTTATTTGAATAAAGGACAAGCTATTCGGTTGCGACTTTCACGCTTACTTTCATGTGACACCACCTTACGACCGGGTTATTATGCAGGATACCGGCAGTTCAGGAGTGTTTACTCGACATTTCGCCATGAATTACTTTAGTTTATGATTTAGAAGTGGCTGTCGGCTGGAGTTGGCCTTGCCACGGACGCATAATTTGTATGAAGTCTGATTGTTGTCAAATTTGCAAGTCTTAGAAGAGAATCACCGAGCTACTGTTTTCGTATCGTAAATAAGGAGCATAATAATTGGCTAAACGTTGCATGAGTACTATTTTTCGTCTAGCTTTAATGTTTTCATTTTCTATATTTACCTTATAACTGTGTTCATTGCATTAAAGCACTCAAAGTCAACGTAGCACTTATATATTTTATCGTAATTTGCCATGGATTACATCTAGTGATAGTTATGTCTAAACTCTATAGTCTGTGACAAATTCATTTTCTCGTTATTTATGCTTTTTTTTATCCATTTTACTCTCGTGCTTATACCTCCGGACCGAATGTTCATCTGCCACTGTACTATTTCGTGCACCTTTGTCTCGTTTTTCAAATCAAAAGTTTTCATTTTACATTACTTTAAAACATCACATTCCCTGAAACCTGTCTGAGCTTTTAGTCGTTTGTATAACAGACAGATATTTCTGTCACTTGAACTCATTCCCCCGTCTAGACTTTTGGTGTCAATCTTAAGGAAAGTTTTGATTGACCACCATGTCCCATTTGTTTTTGAATGGCGACATCTAGGATTAGATTTCATCCGATCTCTTTCCCATAGATTTATAAAGATAGCTTCCACAGTTCTCGAGTAACATTTGCAATACGCGGCATCCGCATTATTTGTGATTAATTTGCCCATAGATGTAGGCATTGTTTTTTACAATGCGTTTTTAAATGTTCAGGGTCGCTAACTTTATTCTCATGTTTTTAGAGTGCCCCTTTCGCCTATTCGCGAAATGATAGCTGGTGGAGGTGCTGGTCTTTGCCAAATCATCGTCACCACTCCAATGGAACTTCTAAAAATCCAAATGCAGGATGCCGGTCGAACACGTGGTAAGTTGGATTCGTACGTGTCGCACTGAATCACTTGGAGGCTTAAGCCTTCGCCAGGATTCTGGTGTTTGTCAGTAATGTCTTATTCAACCGCCGTTCGCCTGGCTCGCACTCACAGAAGGTGAACGCGTGTTTACTTGCCAGATTTGGAACAAATCGCAGGTGGTTGGTCAATTGGCGGGTTAACGGTGTGTTCTAAAGGACCTAGTCCTGGGATCAGAGGCCTACAATTACAAAACCAACTAACACTATGTAGTAACACGTCGTCATTTGATAACCCACTTTACTCAGTAGTATGACGAAAACACCTACTTTCTATTTAAGACAGCCAAGTTCACTGTCTACGTTGGTAATGCAGTCGTGAAATAGCGAGTATTTTGTTCCGGGTAGCTGGTTCATTTCGTAGCTAGGACACAGTGATGGCAGTCTTGGTTGGTACGGCCAGGAGAGTGTGTGCGCGCACTGTCTTTTTTTTCATTTGTAATTAGCCTTATCAGATATAATTGGTTGTGAGTGCATCAAGTTCCACCTAACTACTGTCTTATCATGTGCCATTGCTCGAATTAGGTGCTTGTGTAGCCTTTCTGCAGCCACCTAAGGATCAAATTACGATTGTGTGCATTTAAGCAACTTCAGCTGTCAATCCGAACATTGTTAAATGCCCTAGCCGTGCATACTTGTTATAACCGATTGGCGCACTTTTTCTCAAGGCTTTGGGTTGTCGTTAGTCATTTAGTTCACACCAAGTGGTCTATAAGGCTATTTAATCCAGTGGCTTAATATGTCGTGAGTTTTTATTTCAAAAGCTTAATACTTTTGTCGAATGGTTAGACTTGGCGGTTTATTTGAATCATTTTAAACGAAACCCGATTCAGTTGACTGCTATCTTGGAACTAGATACCGATGAATAAGCCTAGCGTGAACGGTTCAGTTCTGGCACTAACGACACTCTGGGATAAATGCAGTTGCTGAGGTCACAATGCGTTTTGCTTATTGACTCCTGCCTTCTCTCTAAGGAGTTGAACTCCTGACACTGGAACCGCGCCTTGATACCTACCAACAGGGTTACTTTCCTTCTTGAGCTTGCAGATAATTTGCTGTGGCGGATCTTTGTGATTTGAACTGTAGGTGTTCTGTGCCAAACTCTCTGATGGAGACCTGTGTGTGCGTGCTTACTCTGCCTCACAATTGCTAGTTGTTGAATATCCCTGTCGTGTATACCTCTTGCTTCACTGGCTTTACCAAGCGATTACCATTAAAACGGGGAGAGTTGTAGGGAAATAGCTGCTATTCTTCTCCCATACAGTGTACTTGAACAACTTTTCATCATTGAAATCTCACAGTGTCTATGCGCGTCTCGATCTCCCTTTCTGCTGGAAGGTCTGGACCGCCAGACCTTGATGATATTACCCAGTCCACCCCTATTCGGTTCTTCGACCGCCCTGCTGCCTATCAACTAGTTTTTTTCTGAGAGGAGAGCCGGCAAATTCGCAACGAGTCGTTAATTTTAAATGGCAATATCCGCTAGATCTGGTTAGCTTTTCAATTAACAGTGCTGTAGTCATTGCAGTGTAAACACATGTTTCCAGCAGCAGCAGCAGCAGCCGTTATAAACATTCGCGGTTTTTTTATGGCTGAACTTGAACACGCTTAACTAACGTGTGTTTGTAGACTAAAATCCTGTTAAATTCATTCTCTCTGATAGTAAACAAACCACAGCCATCCGGTTGTTCCTCGAACAGCAGTACTTGTGAAACCCACTCACTGGCAAATCGGCGAATCTTTTTGTTGACTTATTGCTTTTGCTTAATTTTGCTCCCTCCTTCTGGGCCACTTTTTTCCCCAAAGCGCACCTATTGCTTCTAAGGCGCAGCAGTACGTTCGACCATGTTTGCGTCCACTCCTGTGACACTTTTCTCCTGCAACGCCTTCACCACCACCACTCCTTGACAGACGGTGTGTTCTTTTTCCTCGTTGAGTGAGGCTTTTGTTTGGATAGTTACTCCAGAACGGTCACCGAGTAGTTAAATTAGCAGTAGGCGAATCGTGTTGGTTGTCGCGGACTGGTGGGATTCGTCGGCCTGCAGTGAGAAAAAGGCTGGGTAGGTTTCACTACCAATCACTAGTGGATAACCACCAGTCGACCCACTAAGGAAATTAATGCCATGAATTGCATCTAGCTTACTCTCTCGTCATTAACGAGGATTTACTTGATTGCTTTGAGAAAAATTTATAATTCTACCCCAAGCCTATTTTGCCACTTTTTGAACTTTGTGGGTAAGGCGTTCGGTGAGTGCGTCTTGTGCTCGGTTTTGATATTCAGATACCCCTATTCCACTTCTGTATCGTGCGGTGACTGAGGTTCCTCTCTTTATTTAATTTCTTCTTTAACACGACATTGAATTGATAATATTGCATTTTTGTGATTTTGTACGTTACTCTTGTTATTGTTCTTGGCTTAATATGACGCTAGTTCATTTGCTGACTTACCATCGTTGCATATTGGCTATCAACCAAACCCATTCGGCAAGACGTAGGAAATCTGAGCCAGCGATTCGTTCAGTTCATCCGCAACACCTACCAGGCTATGGATCAAAATCATGCCACTTGTTCAACTTTTTTGCCGCATCTTGTCAGCAGCCAATTTCTCGCACATTATTTTTTTTTTCTGAAATCTGCATTCTCATCAATAGTCTTCCAGCCAACCGCGTTACCCGAGCCACCTTTCAACACAACTTACCTACGCGTTTATTCGCTGATTTTAGTCGCAGTCGCAGCGAATGCAAATGTACCGGTTGCCAAGCCCATGTCGGCGACTCGGTTGGCCCTGGATCTGGTGCGACAGAAAGGCATCTTCGGCCTCTACAAGGGCATGGGCGCCACTGCCCTGCGGGATGTCACCTTCTCCATCATGTACTTTCCGCTCTTCGCTCGGTTCGACAACCTGGTGAGTTCACCCGTCCTCAGCCGTTTTCGGACTTAAAACCGATGCAGGGCGTGACCGTTTTGGAGCGAAGTTCGACAAACATGAAATTCTATTACAATTCTAGTTTAGTATTATAATGAAACTTCCTCTGAAGCAGATTTCTGGTTACGATCGATGCGACATGTTCTGTTTTTTTCACTTGCTCGGCTTTCAAACTGCATGAAAAAATTTATGTAACCTCCGGTTAACGATGTTGTTTCTTGTTGGGGAGACCCATCAGCACCCAGAAGCGGACTTAACTCCTATGCATTGACAAGCGAGGATAACTTATTGTCCTGGATGGTTGTTACTTTGTTGAGTCGTAGTTCAGCAAACCTCTCACTAAACACTTATGGCTTGATTGCTTTGTGGAAGACCCTAGTCGTGGTTAGTTCGTTTCATTTCACCCATTTGACTTGCTGTTTGGATTTGTATTTGTTGTTGCGGTGCTCCTTGAACAGCAACAGCATTGCCGACTTTTACGTTGCCACCCTAAAGCTTATTGAGGTGTGTGCCTCACGTTGGAAATTCTTAACCAGCTAAAGTATGACCACCAAAACGCCCAATCCCTCTGTATCTCCAATTATTGTAACACCAGCCCTTGTTTACACCGAGGGTCCCCGTCGAAGTGACGGCACTGGCACCATCTTCTACTGGTCATTCCTCTCCGGTTGCACTGCCAGTACAATCGCTGCGTTTCTCGTCACGCCAATGGACGGTTAGTGGTGTTGCTTCCTTTTAAAGGAACACATTGCGGCGATCTCAAGTTTTCCCGCTAATTGGGTCGTGTTCCTTTTTTATTTCAGTTGTCAAAACCCGACTTCAGACTCTGTCCCACTTGAAGGGGGAAACTCAGTTCACCGGAATTTTTGACTGCTTCCTGTATGTTCATTACTTCATTTCCTACCAACTGTGGCTGTTTCACTGCGATTGGCGAATTAGTTATAGTGCTATAACAATTTTGAAGGCCATGCAACGCGGACGAAATGACACTTACCTGCTTACCATGCCTGTAAATCCAATTTGTTTTCGAGGAAAAAGGGCGAAAGAAGGCCCATTCCTTGATCATGTTAACCAAGTTCTTCCTGGTGAATGCGCGGCTTCATAACATTGTGAAATTCCATTCCTTTTAACTGTGGTTATTACGGCTCCAATTGAATTGCTTCACCGTTAAATGACGTAAAAGTGCAAGAGGATGCGCGAAAACTAGTGAAGTGCCTAAATTCGTGAAGTGGGTGATATGTTTGGCGTGCACCAGGCCTGTTCCATTGTAAACAGGCTTGAATGGACTCAGTGAGGCACCCAAGCCATTGCCACGCAACTAAGTATTCCTACGCATACTCTTACTCTGCTTGCACAAGCTCCAGAACCTGTCAGTAGCTTTTGTGTTTGTCCTTTTTTTCCAGGAAAACATTTCAACGTGAAGGCGTCAGGGCGCTGTTCAAAGGGGCAGGCTGCCGTGTCATGGTGATGGCGCCTCTTTTCGGCATCGCCCAGACCGTCTACTACCTGGGCGTGGCGGAGTTCCTGTTGAGTCGAAGCTTGTCCAGACCCGTCTTGACCACCAACTCGAGTCATTAGGTTGTCTTCTCGACGTGTATTTTGTGTATGCCAGCATTACAACTGGTGCTTGCTCAACTAAATTTCTTCGATAGCTTGTGCAACAGATTGTTTCTCTTGAATAATCTTTAGGATTTTACTGTTTTTCTACATTGCTCGTGCGCTTTTTTTTCGGACATTAATGGCACACCACACATGTACACTTTTCTACCTGTGTTTTTTGTGATACTCTGATTCCTAGACCGGCGTCCGTGGTCTTCGAGGCGCCCAAACACTGCCTAATCACTGTCGCACGGTTGGTGGACCCAACCCTCGTTTGATTTTTCCAAATAACTTCCAATGTGCCCTATTATCTTCTTGCTTCCATGTCTTTACTTTTAACGCGCCCTCCTTTGCTCCTTACCATGTCTTAATTCTGGTTTTTTCGGCGAAAATCGCCTTCATTCCATTGAGACACCCACAGCCGCTATGCGTGTTGCTATTCACTTGATCAAGTAAACTAATCCCAACATCCACTGTTTACCTGATTACTGGTATGAGTGGCCATTTGAGCAAACTAATAATAGAGACGTCAAAATCGCTCCGAGTCATAATGCGATTTTTGAATTAAGAATACCGCATCATTATTAACTATTGTAGATGTGCCGTGTGAAACGCGCTGGCAGCCACGGGGCGTTAGTCGTAGCAAAATCGACCCAAAGCGCGCATTTTATTGATCGGCGTGCTATGAAGGGCCAATGCGCGCGCCCGCAAAATCGCAGCGACAGAAGTACTTCCGAATTGGTGGAAGCAAGTGCCAACAAATTTAGGCTAATAGTGGTCGGGGTGTGTCGCTTGACAATGCGTCAGAAAGCAGAGCTAGACATTAGAAAATCCTTGGTAAATAAATTTACAGAGACACTTAGAAGGAAGTTGGTGTGATTTTAGTAAATCGAGGAACAATTAAGGCGTCGAAGTGCCTGAAATGCTTCGTCTGGACTTGCTGCCATTTTGAGCTCGTGATGGTTCTGCTTCAAACCCAAATTTGGATAAGGAGGACATTTTGGTTGATCTGAAAAATTCATGATTCCCAGGTAGCCGTTGTCCATTTGTTCTTTCAGGCTTGCTTAATTAGTGGTAACAGCAAACGAACTCGTGCATTCTGTTTATTGAAACTTATGATACATCGGGAATGTATTAGTTTAACGGACTAAATGGTGAGCACATCCGTTCAATGTACCAAATAAAACTACTCGTGTTGGGCCTCGCACCCACACACGAGGCTTTGCTGTTGCGTTTGGATGTGACACCTAGCGCCGAAGTCAACGTGGGCTTAGCCGTTTATCGTGCCGCCTCTGCTCACGCGTGTCTACGTGTTGTATGCGTGGACGGTGTGGAGCGTGTCGTCTGGGTGTCGACATAGATTAATGGCGGATTCTGTTTGCGCCTACAAGGAAAGTTGAAGATCAACATTGGGGTTTATCGGGGTGGGAACGGAGTTAGGGGGTAGTAGAGCAATGAGCGAGAGCTGTGATGACAGTTGTGAGTCCACAGGATGCACCACACTCGTTTATGCGAAATTGTACGAGGTACGCACAAGAAGTTCATCTAGAGTTTTAGCACAGGCGCGATGTGCACTTTTGTGACGACGCAGTCGGGAGGGCTTCCTCGTACATCATTCTCTAATTCCGAGAATGCTTTCTCATAGCGCTTCTAACTGTTGTTTGTCCAAAATTTAACAAGAAGACTCATCAGTTACATCTCTTTTACAAGCTTGAAAAGCCCATCTCGATAAATTAGGCAATTTGGATCGTGCAGCACCTTTCACAGTGGACAGGCGTGCACATTGTTGCCCATAAGAGCCCTACGATACTACCTTTCCAGCAATTAAAAAAGTATTTGTTTAATACACACAGACAACACGTGCCTTGTTTAGCCACCTACGTGACTTTCAGAGCAGAACAAAGGCGTGAGACTCCATTTTTGAGCCACCAGCATAAGCCTTCTTACATTCCAACCAAACCGAAGTCGCCGCAAAATGAGTGACATTTATCAGCGCCTAGAGCGACTCACGCCAACAGACAAGCCAGAATCTAGCGCCTTCAAATGCTCCACTCAAAATCCCGTCAACCACGCTAGGTCTGGTTAATCAGTAAGAGGATTTCATGCTCTCTTAATTTGTCAAAAACGAACATGTAACCTGTGGTTAAATCGCTTGTGCTTCGATAAAAGAAATAGCCATTATCTGTCAGATAAGAGCGTGCTCAAGTATCTCTGCTGAGGTAAAATCGAAATACTTCCTGATTCGTGCTGTCAAGGAATGGCGATTTGATCGGGATCTTTGTTTTTTCGCTCCGAAGTGTTCAGCTGTTTGTCCCAAATCTCCCGGCGAATGAAGCCTCGAAGATGTCAGTTTGATTGATGACGAGAAAGTATATCATTAGTTTAGCTATCTGAACTGCGAATTGAGCCTGATTTTGGACCTATTTCTTTTTTTTTAATGCTTTAAGCTTGAGCCCGCCTACGTTTTTCTTTCCCGGAATGACAATCTATCAATATTGGTAAATTTCTACTTATAATAAAAAAGTAACAATTGTATACAACATAGTGTTGGAGAAGCTTTGAGGCGTAATATGAACTGTAGTCAGTTCCTTCCTCAGCCCTACCTCTGCGAATTACCTGATTAAATTGACGTCCTGGTGTTCTTCTTTTACAAAATGTTGTACTTTAAAGCAAATTGGATTTAAGTAATTTGCAAGGTGTCAGCAAAATCAAGAGTGGACAACCTTGAAAAATAGCCAATTTGCTTGATACGCCGAACCATAAAAGTTTATTGTGACCGATCGGAATCGAAATCCGTGTGTCAAAATCGATTTAAGCTTCGATCCTGGCCAATCTGAGCGGATACTGGGTAAAATAACTGGACATTTCATCCGTTTAAATTATCTTTACAACAGGTCTTCACAAAAAAACATCTCATCAAATACCAAAGATTTGAATACTCTGAAGTGCATTTTGTATGACTAAGCACACAAGGCAGATGGCGGAACACATAATTGGTGTCCATTTGAAATGTTGTTGAGGTCGGTCATCTGTTGGACGGTGGCGTCAAGCTGGGTAACCCCGAAAGACCTGGAATGTGGGAATCTTGCTTCGAAATTCAGAAGTTCTGTTTAATATAGGGTTGACAAAAACATGTAAACAGCATCAAAGTACACGTAAACACCCAAATTTGCAGGCACTAGTCGCGAAAAAATCTTAGCCAGTTTTTGGCGGGAAGGCGCCACGCGATACACCCAGATGGTGCTGTGCGGACACCCTGGTACATGACCAACAAATATTGCGGCCCACTACCACATTCTGAGGCGTAGGGGGTGGTCGATTAGGTGTGACAGAGACGTGGTACTTTGCAGACTGGATGAAAAACCAAACAGTGATTAGCGATATTTAGTCACATCACTGAGTGACTGCCGACTGCTTAAGCAAAGCAAACAGAGTTCGCGTTTTAATTTGCACGACACACGAAAGTTTTTTGCACAATTTAAGCTAAATACTATTGTTTTGAGTAGATATTAGAAACATTGACAACTAATAGCTTAAGTCTACGCTCTGAAGAATCGACTGAGCTCACAGAAACGGCTTATGTTGATTTGAAAATAAACAACAGAACCGGTCTGTCATTTAGACTTTCCACAGTGCTTTTTGTCAAGAGAAATATCCCAACAATCAGTTTTATTTGTTTAAAAATGATATCAGTTCAAGCAAAACGGGCTAAACCAATAAAGAGTGCAGTTAATCGTGCTGCTTCGTGTATGGAACGTGAGTATGATTACAAACGGACATTGCCTTCCTTGTACAACCTACTTTGCTTTAGCCACTTATTAATTGATTGTGATTGTTTAAAATTGTTTTTTTTTTATTTTTCGGAAAAGGATTCATTTTACACAATCTCCAAAACAAAATTCAAAGCAGCTTCGATTGCAAAGGTGGCGTGGGACGTTTGAAAATCTCAGAAACTACAATCAAGCTGGCGAAAACCACTCAGAAAGTACATTTCGAATTGGGTTTTTTGGTTCGACGCTTCCATCACATGGGTTGTATTTATGAAACCGTGTTCCGATTCAAGCCACCATTGTCAAGCATTGATTTTCACGCGTTTGAATACGCAATGAGAGGTCCGCAAACTCTGTTCACAGGGCTTCTTCAGGTGACTATTTTGGTGAAATTGACAGAAGCCATTTCGGTGGCAGACAGAGAGATGCTGCTCTTTCTCCATCTCTCTACCAGAGTGACTGTCAATCCCCCGGCTATGGACATGGAAATCCTCCAGTGGTCCAGTGATCTGGAAGGATATGCTAAACTATGGGCCGAGAGTTGCAGCTGGGAGTATCCAAGGGCCACAAACATCTCTGAAAGGCCCCTCACCTTGCTTGGGATGAATATCGCTGTAATTTCGACTGAGAGTTTCATTTTAAAGGAAAACGTACCATCGGTAGCCATGTTCTATCAAATGTGGATGCAAAACCGCCATAACTTTGACTACGATCTTGGCATCTGCAAGGAGGGCTATTGTGGACACTATACACAAATCGTCTGGGCCATAACCGAGTTCATTGGGTGTGACCGGGCTTATTGTGAATCCGAAGACCATAGCAAAGTTAAGGGCCACGTCCTCGTCTGCATCTACTCTCCGCCGGGGAGAACTGCAGGTGGCCAACCCTATCAGAGCCTCAGCAGCCACGAGCAGTATCCCTTGGACACGGAGCCATGGATTTTCGACCGAGAAGGAAGCTTCATCAACTCAGCCCAAGGTCTAATCGAAGGACCAAAATGCATGCTTTTCGCAGTTATTCTCTGCTGCATTTCCTCGCAATGATTTTAGCTTTTACCCGTATCTACCGCAGACCCAAAAATCGTGTATATGCAATCCATAATAGCTTGGTTGACGGTCAAAAGGGTACATTAAAGGAAATGGCTACTTAATCATGTAGTTGCTTGTCTCACGCGAGATTCTTTTACCTACCAATCGTTTTATGTACCTTATGTGAATAAAAGTAATCACAATCGTGTCTTGTTTGATTGGTGTTTGCCAAATTACGGGATCAAGTATCGAGTGAATCAAAATATTTTACTTTGGATACCACGGACTGAATATGGATCTCAAATTGTTGGCAGGGTAGAAAGTTCGAAAAGTAACCTCATTTTTCAGTTTTTGCAACTCTACACACATAATTGCTGTCTTTAACATGCCATTTTGTTAATTTAACCGAATCTGGAGCTCTCATGAGATGAACGTCGAAATATTAGGCAAATAAATATAAAAATTACCCACAGCCAACTGGAATCGTCCCCTTTTAAGATAAATCATGAACTTTTATTGTTTTTATGGAGTGTAAGTCATCGAAGATTTCTTTTACCGCAAAGTGGGTGTTTTATTCTTTATATTTCCACCTGGTTTACCATCGCTATGTTCTAGAATTCCAAAAGTTTTTCCAGTCTTTCCTTCGTCATTGAGACCAACTCCAGAAGAGGACATGGCTCATTTTGGGTTGCAAAACACAGCTGTCTGCAATCAAACCTCCACCATTCGAAGTTCTTTTTTTTTTAACTGAAGACAAATTTTGAAGGGTGGTGCGGTTCCAAGATAAAGGCAGAGTAAATGCTTTTAAGAATTCTGGAGAGTCAATTTAAGATAAGCCTAATGAGTCACATCGGCTGCATAACATTGAAGTGGTTAACGCTTTAGCAGGCATTCAAGGCTTCCCAACACTTGCAGCAAAATTATTCAGCCGTAGTGACTTGGGGCGAAATTCAAGCCCCACAAAAGAAGTCTGTACCAAGGCATAATGTATTGTAATTCTCACCGTCTGTTGCGCTACATAGTCAAGATGTTTGCTTCGTATCCTCACAAGAAAACTTATTTTCGAAGGCGATGATGAGAAAGCTTATTCCTTGATGAGCCTTCTGAACACACTAAAAATCTTCGCCTTGCAAATACTTTGAACACAAATGGCGGCTGCATGTTGGAGTGGATTATACTGCAACTTAATAAGGCCAATTGTTTATGCGATGGTTGAGGTCAGTCCTCCACGGAGGTCTTAGGACGCGTTGGTGCACGTGTCGAAACGGACCTTTGCCATGGCGAGAGTAAACAATGCCGCTGTGTGTGAACCCACGGGTGAAACTGTTTATCAAGGACTGACAATAACATAATCGATCGGATGACTGGTGAATTACCTATTTGTGTCAACAGACGCGGCGGACAACATCCAAGTGTCTAGATTCCACACGTTTGCGACCTTAAGCTTGAGGTCAACACTGCACGTTAGAAAGGCCTTGAGAATGTCTAAATGTAAAAAAAATCACAATTAATGTTTCTGGAATTCAAAGTGTTCTATTTGACCGGCCATTTAGTCGTAATTTACAGTACATATAGCTTGGAATAACTGCTATGATTCTAAATCGGTTCTGGAGGTGTTAGTTTCTACTTGCAGAATTTTAGTTTCCCTTTTCTGCTATTATCAAAATGTGTTAAAGAAGAATGTGTTACTTTAATACCTGAATATTTCATGGAATACCCGACACATTAAACGATCAAGGAGATGTAAATTTTTAGAACCGCGTAGTTGGGTGATTCAATGAGACGGTTATTAAATTCAGTCGTGAGTAGCTTCTGGTAAAAGAAACAGCAATAAACCCAGCAAACACCGACAACCCTTATTGTTTTTTGGGAATTCTATCTAGTTGCGGAAAAGTGCGGTGGTTGTTAAGCCACTTTCTTTGGGCAGAATCACATGGTGATGCGTGAACAAACCAAGTTCTGTTTTTTTCCCAAAGATGCCTGCTTTTAAGATTTCCGTGACCGATAAAGTTTACTTAGAAGATATTGTGTGCATTTTAACATACAATCTGTATTTAGTTGCATGAAAAAAACCAAATACAATGAAAGGTGGTTCTTGCGAATCAGTTAACACACTTACTTAATTCATAACTGAGAAGCTCTGTTAAGGACCTCGAAAGGGAATGTGCTCGAAGGCAAGTAGTTTTGCTGTCACTGTCTTTGTTTTCGATGCTCACACAAACGGACTAATGCACAGAGGAACAGTCGCTGTAGATTTCGGTCATTGATAATGTAAGCGAGCTAAATAGACTGTATCCATTCAGTTGGTAATTGCAAAGCTTCCTTCATAATAACACGGACATTGTACAACCTCCTAGGGCCTTAAAATCACATTTGACATTATGCAGCGACCATTAAGTCAGCCTCTCTCGGGAACAAAAAGCGGTTCTTTTACTCAAGAAAGCGAGAGGTTCGGCGATTTGATTTTTTGTCATGGTGTGTAAATTTTGAATTTGCTGGCCCCCACTTTTAAGTCACCGGCCACTGCCTGCATCTCCAACACTGAGACGGTAGCTGCACTATAAAATGAAACTTAAATCAGATGTTAAATCTTCTAGTCCCGTTAGTTGTGGTGTTCCATTTACTTGTGTGCAAAGTTTTAAAGGAAGGCGTCCAAAATAGGATCAGGCTAATCACATTCTAACTATTCTGAGCAAATCTTGGGGCTGAGATCATACTAAGAACTCCATTTTATGCCAGATTCTTCCAGCGGGATGCTAATTTTTCATATAAATGTTATTTCGAAATCAGTAATTAGTTCTTATTTAGACCAAGGAGTGTCCCTCTGAACTGTTACCATGGACAGACCTGTAGTCTTCGGCTACCTCGTTGTAAGAAACATTTATTAGGAAATTTAATTAACTCGTTTGCAATTTTTTGACCTTATTTCTCACTGACGCAAGCCGACTCGGTTTTGGCTAATTTGTGACTCGTTAAATACCTGCATAATTACGCTCCCTTTTTGACCATCACTTCGAAGCGTTGGTGACATTAAGTGGAACCAAACTGGCGTCTGTGGCTGCACTTTGTCAGCCCATTTTCAGGAAAAGGATACACGATTGTACCCCCCCTTTAAGTAAGCCCCAGTGTTTCATTATCGTCAGCCATCCATAACTCGCGTCGACGAGCCAATCATTACCTTGTCAGCTTCATAATTAAAACATGTAAATGTCCACTTTATACCTCAGCAGCAGTGCTGTTGAATGTGCCAAGTGCCCCAGAATCTCAGATGTTTATGGACGAAGTTAACTCCCTTAAACAGCCATACTTTTTAATTCGAATGCTTGCCCAAGTAATGTCACAAGTTCAGGTTTCCAATATTATTTCTAAATTCACATTTAAGTGATCATTGGTGTGCAATTGTACATTTAAATTTCGATATGCAAATATGCAAATCAATTTGAAAAAGTGACTATTGGACTTGAATTTTCCGCTTTTACTCAACTGACCTAGCTTATAAAGACTAAGGGACTCGAGCACGGAAAGTTCCCCGCAGTGGCATCCCGAAGCGGCATTCAAGGCCTCTAAAGACGCCAGCGCGTTCACGCACGAGGTGTCTCGCACCGCGATCCAAAGCCAGAGTACGTGCACACACGTCCGGCCTGCATGATTGGTTAACTGATAAACATACCGAAAAATGGTCATGCTGTGGCCATCGTTCATTTAACGTGTGTACGATGTGGTTCGTGCTGCTGTGGCCGTTGCTTCTAGGGGCAGCCCATGCCTCCACAACGGAATGCTACACTCAAAGTGGTCCCCCCTACAACGGGACACTGAACCGGACGGCTACTGGTGAACCCTGTCTCCCCTGGAGTGAGTTCACTCACCTCCGTCTGCGCAGCATGTGGAATGCCTCTGTGCTGCAAGAACACTCCAACTACTGTCGAAATCCTGACGACGACCCTCGTGGCCCGTGGTGCATGGTAACCAGGGCGAAATTCGGCACCTGTGCTGTCCCACACTGCGGTGAGTAAGAGGTTGTCAATGCACTCAAGCATCGGCACTCACTGGCTTCGATATTAGCAATTTAGACTTAGTTTAGCAATCGACAAAATGTGATTCCTTATCTGGCAGAACTTTTCTTTAACGACAGCAAACCTTTTTCTCTGCTCTGACTTGTTTTCAACGGAAAGGTTCTGCCTATAAATTATCACGTGCGGGCCTTTGCTTCTGCGTGTTTGTTGCAATCTGTGATTCGCCTGAAAGTGCGTTAGAGCCTGCTACCTAGCTCTTTTCTCTAGTTGGGTCGCATTGTGATTCTTGTTAGTGGTATCAAAGCTTAATTTTAGTCTGACTTGCGATGTTGTGAGGGCAAGTGAAATTGAAATATATTAAGTTTTTCACAACCACAATTAAGAAATGGCTCGGTCCATAAGTGACTTTTAGACGTCCGATACCATGGTAATTGAGGTAATGCACCAGTTTAAGCGTGATGGATTTTTTGCTATTAGGAATCGTTTGGAATGAGTCAGTGGGTTTCAAGAAAGGATGTAACCTATTTCCGTTCTACTCACTATCCAACCAATGCAATTTTAGCTTCTCGGTCAAACTGAAAGATTTTCGATGGTCCAGAATGTATGCCTTGTCAGTTCGTGTTGTGTATGCCGAAACGTCAAATTTCCCTCTGGATTCAAGGCCTAAATTCAAGCTGTTCTGTCGTCACAGACACAGTGCTGTTTAGAAGCGTCTCATTATGAAGACTTATCTCAATGATTCAGAGACCGCTTAAAACATCCTGTCTTCTGGATTACCTTTCTTAATCAATTCTCACATCTTGAAAAGTTTTTCAGATTTCGATTCGTGTGATTTAGAACTGGGTTCTTAATGCGCATAGCCACTTCTCCTTTCTGACGAGATTTTTTTTCGAAAAGAATTGAATGAGTCAAAACTAGTCAAGCAGCAAGTAGGGTTACAAGACAAGCAGTGATCCTCCACAGGCTACGTCATATTTTTGTTTCGATGGAGCTCACAGTCTCTAGCGAAATAGGGATTTAAGTGCGGTCTTTGTACCCTCAAACTGCAGAAAACTGTGTATTTAGGCAAGTATAAAGGAAAAATTTCATAATTTACGTTCATAGTAAAACTTAGCTCCTCACTTATCTAAAGTCGGATAAAAATTTGGTGGTTGTGTGGATATTTGACTAAGCTAAATTCACAAAAACCATTCCGATTTCATTACAAATTGCCTGAGCTTCCCCTTTTTCAGAACATTTGGTCGACTGTTATGAAGGCGTGGGAGAGGACTACCTTGGTGATGTCAGCGTTACTGAGAGTGGCCAGGTAAAGCTTATACATTGCCCTTTTTGAAGTTTCCTGCATTTAAATTAATTTGGCTTGACTGGAAATCCAAAATGGAGAGTAGTGTAGTGAGTTGATGGCATATGCATGCCATCCCGACGTCTGAAAATTGAGCTGCTCCATAAAATCGATCGATTTAGTTAAGTGCATGACACGTCTAGACATTAGTGAATGCTGATTCCCTTTATCAGCGAACCTAAAACGCATGGCATTACCTTGAACCTCTTGTTCCTAGCATTTTGGGTTGTTCTTTCGATATGGTGATGCACACAGCAGACATGCCTGAATTTGAAGGCAGAACCACAAATTTAATCTCGATTTAGCGATTAAGGGTTGTGGGTAAGTGCTGTATTAATCTTGGATTAGTGTTCATGTTTCCAATTGAAAATACATCATCATTCCAAATTGGATGGCAATTTGCAATTGGTTTTTAAGGAAAGCAGCCTTGGCGAATTATTTTAGTCAACCCTAGATAAACTCATGAGAATTATTGGTTTATTACTGTTCAAGATCTGTGCTCCTTGGGCTGACGTGATTCGCTCGAGCATCTTCAGTCCTGGGACTCCGCATCTGGTAATTGTCAACTATACTTCGCCAACCAACCGCACTCCCTTGTCGAGTTTCGAGTCGTCTGTGGCTAACTTCAGAAGCTGCAGAAATCCAGAGGGACGCATGGCCAAACCCTGGTGTTATGTGACCGCATCGAACCCAGGCGGCATCTTATATCACAGTAACGTAGGCTACAGGAAAGCACCTTGCAAAGTGGATATGTGTGGTAAGAACGCCTAATTTTGAGCGCAACGTGAAGCATTTGTTTCGTAAAAGGCGGTTTGTGGTATTTTTTGCATCAAAGTAGACCTGTTCCAGCCTTGGCGTGTCCCAATTTGACTCATAAATGCCTAGTTTTCAGTACAATTTCGACTTCCATGTTTTGCCGAATGTACTCTGGAGAATCACTGCTCTACACCTCGTTTAATTTATTGATAGCGATTTCGATTTCAAAACCAAGCCCCTTCTGGAAGCACAACAGACTAGTCTGAGAACAATTGTCCATATTATCAACGCTTGCTGCAATTTGGCTGTGTTGGTTGCGCAGCTGGATTCTTTCGCCTTAGATCGAGAGAAGCGGTACGACCCTAGATTGCATCTGATTTAATCAGACGTCTTGCAAATGCGCTCTGTAACAATCGGTATCCCTTTAGACTCCGATTAATTCAAGTTTAAAGGGCATAAAGAGAAGTAGGACATGTGGTTGCGATGGTCTGGTAGTTGAATGAAACCCTGTTAATTTTGTTTCCCGAGATGGTTTACCCTTCGTTGGCGCCTTAAGCCATATACAAACGAAACCAAAAGTTGACAGGCTTCCGTAAATTAACCACTTTTTTATGCGAGTTCTCATGAAACCTTTGTGCTACCTCTTATCACGTCCTATTACCTAATGGACTTCCAACATTCACAGAATCGCTGAAAGTCGTCGACTGTAAGCAAGGTGATTTCATCCACAGGTCACGTTACTTCAAGGCGTGTTTGGGTAGCTGGCTACATGCGCTGGCTGTGGAAAACAGTGAAAAGGCCAATAATTATCTGATCATGGCAGCACCCAGAATGTTTATGCATGATTAGTTATCAACAGGAATAACGTAATTGCAATACTTTTGTGGAGTGGTGTAAAATTGTAAGTCTGTTTATTTGCCTTTTCTAATGCCTGGGGAAAAAACGAGGGCAGAAGGCAGCAGATACAGAAAGTATGTAGTGACTTGTGGTCTAAGCACTACCTGACAGCCCTCTAGTTAACAGCCCGTAACAACCCGAGAAGGGAGAGAAGAGAGGCGACAGAGGACACGACCGTTTATTAGCGTCACGCCAGCCAAGTGTGTGTCCTAGCGTGTGGATGAGTGAATGGATGACAGGCATCTATTACAGTAACCAATGAAAAGGAGATGAGTCATTGTCACCGTCAGATCGGTAACCAGGGTTCACTCAGGCGCGATCGCTGTTAATTCGCTACAAGTAGCTATACACCTCCAAGGCAAATCAGATTGTCTCAGATGGTAAACCAAGATCAATTTATACAGTCTATGACTGAATACCCGAGCGATAAACTTAAGGTCAATAAACGATATTCGTAAGTCACTTGAATACCGATCGAAAAGTTAAGCAGATGACCCTGGTTATTTTGTTTGGATAGCCGGTTTGTAAAGCACAGAAGCGGGCCTTGGTTGACCATGAAAATTTAATATGGGGGCTAATTGTTAAAGGTTTATTGTGTTAAACAGTCAAACCGGATTTACACTTTACGCTGCGTTGAAATTGAAGGAGTCTAAGAGTTAAGTGCAAAGGCGAAATCTTGAGGTCTATAGGTGAATGTGCGACAACGCGCTGGGAAAAAATTATAACGATACTGAAGGGGTCCTGATTCCCCGTACTTTCTAGTTGCATTAAAATAATTCCTACTTACATTATTTCATTAACAAGGTACTTTAATTGGCGTGTTTGATATTTCTTTAGGTTTCCTTTCCTATTTCGTATTTTTGTTTAGGCTTATAGTGTACCACGTAAAACGTCTATTTAATAGCTTAAACATTAATAAAAACATCAGTGTCTCCCCTTTTTAAATCGTTTCAAAAACGAAGAATACGGTTTTGTCTTACATCTATACTTTGTCCATGCTTTGATCTACTCATAACTCACTCTCCTGTGTATTTGTAATCTTGCATTCTGTAACCGCGATTCGTCATAGCCACTAGTGAATAGGCCATGTTCAATTAGGCAATTAGAAAGTAGCACAAATGTAAAATGAGAAGTCTGTCGAAAACTAACATACAAACAACGGTCCTTTAGTTAAGAGCTTGCCAGTAATTAACCTGTCTTTGAACTCTGATCATGCCAGCCAAGTTGTACCTGCGGTAGTCTCTTATGGTTTCAAAAGCTCTGCCGTCACAAATTTCAAAAAGGGTGCAAGCAGTTCAAACAAATCGGCCATTCTTACAGTAAAACTCATGCCTGTTAAACAAATAGTCCGATAAACAAACCAAAACAAGTCTTCAATACCTAAGAAAGCACAATGTAAACAGTTAGATGGAACAGAACGTGTACAAACAGGTGAAGCTGTTCGACTCTATTCACCACATATTTTGAAACTCTCATGTTCAGTAAGTAGCTGAGGCTCAAAATAATTCTTACTTTCATTGTTTATTCCCTTTTCAAGTGAAAAGCTGAGGTCTTAGCAAAAATATTCCGAATAATTTTCGAAGTCTGAATCTCTGTTCTAATATGTCTTTAATTGATGGACCCTGATTAGGCTGAATTTTTTATCTTGACAATCTTTGAGGGAGAGATTGAGGACAGTCGCGCAAATTTAGAGGTCTGTTTAGTTCCTGTAACCACACCGAATGCCAAGTTCAAAACTAATTAGCTTCCCACTTTAACCCTCACGAATCCATTAACCCCATGTCATCATCATTGACTTTCAATATTGGTGCTGCACTGCAATTAGCGTGGGCTCGTACCTCAAAGTCACGCATAACAAAGTCCTTACAACGATCTGCGATTACCAGGTCTTGCTAGGGAACGACTTCAATATTCATTGAATCTTCATCGTTATCACAAACGACAAAAGCAGGAAGAAGTATTCCATGTTTTCCCAGCCTCGAGTCTTTCTATAAATCTTAGCAACTGCTGTGATTGAAGGCGTTCCGGGCGTTCACGTAACTTGTGCGATGGCCTTTTGCAGACCAGTCGAGCCACATGGGTCTGCCCCTCGACTTTGGCGACGAGTGTCCACCGGGCTTCATGACTCAGGTCGGAAAGACCACCTCACCTCATGGCGAAATCTCCACGGTCTACTGCGTGCTCACAGCCAAAGGCCTTCGGAAAACGGAGAAGGGCAGGTTTAAGAGCTTCTGCATGTTCCTTCTCAATCAGAACCGAGAAACCTGCCCTAAAGGTACGCAGCTCGACTTCTCTTTACAAACTCTCGAAAGTGTATTATTTCTAGAAGCCTTCTACGTAATTGTCCACAGTGATGTTGTGGCCATTGATTTGCCCAAGTTAAAAAAAGCCTCCAGCTTGGCATGGCGGCAAAGCGAGCCCGTTGTCATGGCTGTCCTTAATGTCAATCCATCTTTTGGAGTCTTACTTAGCACTCTTGGTGTTCTAATTTGTTTCATCTTTTCGGGTTTTACTGAAATGAAACACTCCACCGCAATCTCAATGTTGGACAAAACAAGCATGATCATGACTATTTCAGCTATGCTTAAATATCCCCTAAGCCTTGTAATCGTGACCGCTAACAATTATTCACTACTTTTGAAGAATATCAACAAAACATTTTTGTTACTTCTCTTGAAATTCAATAAAACCGAATATTGATGTTATTAATGCCACATTTCACTAGGGTTCATGTCCAGTTCCGTGCTTCCTTTTGTGCAAGTTGATAACGCGGCTTTACGAGATCTCAGGACCAAAAGTAATTTGCTATTTAGAGTTTTGGGGTGTTTTAATTACAGAAATGCCAACAAGTTAGAGAATTTGCGTAAAAACGATTGTTACTTTACTTATATGTCACACCTACCTTATAGGGTTCGATATGAAACGTACTTTCATGCGCACCAAACTGAAGGCCAAGGGCAAGTTTAGCATGTTTCGTCAGGAGGGTTTTACGTCGATTTGGATATCCCTGTGCTGCACAAACGGATCCCACGCGGAGCGTCGGATGGAGTTCCCGCGGTCCAGTGTGGCCTACAAGTCGGCAAACTCGCGCTCCGCCGCAGGTCCGTGGCTCAGGATGGAGAATCACCGTGGCGCAGACCTTGCCGACGTAATGAACGACGACCCCTCTGTTCCTGCCTCTAAAGAAACGCCCATTTTCGTGTCCATTGAGCGCTGTCCGCCTGTTAATGGAACGCGGAGAAAGATTTTCACCATGGGGACTTACCACCCGTCAAATCTAACAGCTACCCTACTGGACTATGGATATTACACGTCGCTATGTACTTACTACGAGGAACAGCGACCAAGCTCACATTCTGAGCAGGCGTCGGAGAGTAAGTCAAAAGAGTCTTTACTTTGATTATCTTTGATTCTTACCAGGGATTTTATGTACCTAACCACTTTCCTTGTTAAAATTAGAAAGCTAGGAAAGCATCCATTCTCATTTGTCTATGTGTCAATGTCAATGAATGAAAACGTAAAAATCTGTTGCAAAAATCGATAATGATGACGGATCAAGGTGCTGATTAGATTCTGCAATGAACTGTCTGACCAAGTTTGAATTAGCTGTATATGAAATGTTCACCAAGAGATACACATTTCAGGACGTCTAAAGTTGAAATTACTTCAAGACACTGATATTTGACCAATGTTTAATAGTCCAATCTATTTTGGTAGTGCACTTATTAGGGATCGGTCAATTTCTGCCTAATTTGATCTGGGGTATTTGTAATTTTTCGTCACACTCTTGGTGCACGCAGGTTTGTAACATCCAAATGTCTCAAAGCAACACGCGTTCTACGAGTGGATGCCTCCCTTTTGGAGCTTAAATGATTTTACTATTCATTTATCAAACCTGAAAAACTGGCCCCACTGCAAATATTATATTTGGGATTTATTATCAAGCGTGACATACTGGCGACCACGTCGCCTCAATATTGTTGTTTTCGCAATGAGCTCTAATTAGCGGCGCCTTGCAAACCATTTTCATATGCATATTGAAGATGGTTTGTAGCGTCGTATTCATCTGGTATCCATAAATGTGTTAGAAAATCCTGTTTTTCAGAGTTATTAAAACATAGGAGCTCCCTGAAAGCTCCTTTTCTAATCAATTCAAATCATTAAAGGAGAAGACTAAGTTATACCAAATTCTATACCTTCCATTAACCGTCACTTTAAATGAGCAGGATCCCCATCAATCGAGATCTTATCCGTTGAGAAAACACTTTCAAACTTTCATTAAGTATGAATTTACATCGAACGAAGAAACTAGTAATTTAGTTGGTGCAGGATATGATACTTTCTCGAATGCACGGAGTTACGCTTGTCAAAGCAATATCATCGGGTGATTAGAACATGTCAGTCTTCCTTTGGCTATATTTTTTCCAACTCAATATTGGGCGCATTTTCAATATTTTTCACAAATAGTCGAAATAAGTGGTTTAATTTAAAACACTCTACAAAGGCGCCTATGTATTCATGCTTTCCAAAATCCGATTCTATGGAAGCATCAGCAAATTAGTTTTTGGCTAGTATTTAAATTATCTTTTTTGTGTGTTTATTTTCTAGCTTTGATTCCCAGTATTCTTGTCGAAGGGAAGACGTGTCCTCCACACTTCTCCCTCGCTCCGAGTTCAAAGGCGTACCACGTGTTCTACTACTTGAGGGCGGCCTTCATTCTGTGCAAACCCGATGGTATTTACCGCCACGATGCCATCGACAAAATGTTGCCCGATGGAAACCAGTGTTTCATCTCGCACACACCGGACGAAGTCAAGCGGGACGCCAAAAAGGCTGGAGGAGGCGTCAAGGGTGAAAGTGGAAATGAATCGGACGACGATGATGATGGTTTAACGAGTAATAAAAGATATGAATGCCCAACAGGTGGGTTAAAACATATAGCTTAATCGTCAAGGAGTGTAGACCAGCATTAACACTTATTAAAATCCAAATTTCGCGTTCCGACTAGATGTCAGGCAAGTGAGAACCTTACCCACTAAAACTTAAGAAGCCAATATTTGTACGACGGTATTTCGTGGTTATGTGAATTCAATCGAATACCGATGTATCAATATGGGACTCGACCTTCTCTCTAAAACTCGAGAACACTGCAGCACTTTCTTTTTACTGCATTCAAATGGTTATGTATCTATTGCTAGATTTGTTAGCTCCTTTGCTAATACGTCTTCAATTTCCTCAGCGTTGGAAGTAGAACAAGCCCAAAAGGCAAATATTGCCTAGTTTTCCTAAGTCAAGCTTGAACTGGACCTCTAGCACAAGACCTCCACAACTAGATTCACGAGGGGTTTTGAATGCAAAACGCATCTGTACAAACAGCTGAATGTAAATAAAAAAACACAGAACTCTCAGTTACATTTGACACCAAAATGTGAGCTCATATCCTCGTCGTCAGTCAAGTCAAATTAGGCTTTATAAAACGATTAACCAGTATTATGAGTAACTTGGGTTTTAGAAACAGTTAAACTGTCATGGCAAATATCAAATAGGATTAAAGCTCTTTTTTAACGAATGCTGTCAGAATAAGTCCTCTCAGAACCAGAGTTGGTGGAATCGAAATGTTATTGCTTCCTATCTTTGAAAATGGGCATAACTGGTAATAAGTTATCACAGTTAATGTTCCCCATTAGGATAGCAAGAAAATACTTCACCATTTTCCAAAAATGAGTAACTAGAAGAAACTTCTCACCTCCAAATCGAAGTAGACAGTCACTTCTGAGTATCGTTGACGCTATATCACCAAGTCACCACCTCGCATGTGCAGTGATAGTGTTTGTGGGGTACCTCTGAAGTCTTTGCAGAACCTACCTGACACCAAATTCTAAAGGTCAAACGCTCAGCTACCTATGCCCTTGATTTAGGTTTTGACACCAGCGAATTACGATGGTCAGGTGGCAACGCCTCAGCGCATGGCTACGAGTCAATAAACATCTTCTTCTGCTGTCGCCGTGGGGCATCCTCGTCTACCAAGGATAGCAGTAAAAAGCCAGCATCGGAGAGCCACCAGATCTTGTCCCCTCAAACCTACCCTCTGCCCTTCTACCTGCGATCAGTCCCGACGTTTGCTGTCCTGATACTTGGAGGCAGCTGCCCCGATTATTCTGACCAGGGTGCCAAACTCACTGCTGACTTTGTAAGCTAATTAGCCTCGCGTACTTCTTTAAGGTACTTTTTCTACCTTCTTCACCACAGCCACAAAATTCGGGGACCTATGGCATTGCCTTCACACTGTCATGGAGATGGACCCACACCCTTATTGGATAGACAAGTCTCTTGACGCCGTCTGAGGCAGGGGAATAAATTTACGATTCGGAATCCAGCGAACCACTAATACTACTTAAAGATGAAAACATTAAAAATTATCTCAACAATAAATATTGACGTGGGAAAATCCCACAAACGCTAAATGCTCATAATGCGCATTTTTTAAGTACGTAAATTGACAGGATGTGGAATATTGGTCGATTCATGGCTTGCTTAATTGGCTTGATTCTTGGTGTTTGGTCTTTGGCAAAAAATGTCTACTAATTCCGAACTTCAACTGACAATAACTTAAATACCAGTACTTTAACATGGAAATCCTACTCGAAGAAACCTCGAAGTACTCTGTTTTCAAATTCAAACGAATCCAGGAGTTTGAATCTCACGACCTGAAATGATGATTACAGAGGAGAATTTTTTGGCAATTTAGAGGCCGACGATGCAAACAGAGTCCTACATGACCTTGGAGCTCATTGGACAAAACAATCCGGTTGATTTTGTCGAATCAATGAGCGGCGTTCGTGCGGTCCTGGCCCTGTGCAAGTACTCCCAGCCCAGAGGTGCGTTGTGTTTCCCCTGTGAAGCTTTTTCACTACCTAAAATTGTTTATTTTAGAATAAATGTAGTAAACCAAGTGGTGCGGCTTTGACGCAGATCACTCGTATTCACTCGTATTCACAGCCCCGAGACCCACATCCACCAGTATGCCCCTGTTTCTGTTTACGCTTGTGCGTGTTAAACGGAACAAAAAAATACAGAACCGGGAGAAGTGGTGAATCGGGGAGGAAAACTAGTAAATCATCTTAAAATGCAATGCCGATAATATAGCCAGAAAATACTGAAGAACGTACAGTACAAAGAACAGACAGACGAAAAGTTTGCCAATTTTAAGGCAGGTAGATAGGTGTCATTGTTAATAGATGGGCTGAGATTATTGTCTTTATTCCCCTTCAAACACTTTTATCTGATGCCTCTAATTTACTTGCTGTGTCTGAGTAGAGTAATAAATAATAAGAAAAGTTGTACATTTCTTAGAGGAAGTCGGTGTCCTCTCACCGCAGGGCTTCTGCCATGGCGTGGGAGAACGGCGTGTGCCGACGGTTCACACACTGCATGACTCGGGGACAACCTGCGCCGTCAACGTCACAAACGTGGTCTTTCCCTCGGGCTCCTACTGCTTCTACAGAACAGCAAAGGTTTGTCCCCCTGGTACGTCATTGCTGTGCAGCTCCTTGTTTCAATCTCAAGCAGTCTCATTGCATTTATTCGAAGGCTACTAATGCTGTCTTCACATTACGACTGGTATAATTTGACTGGCTCCGCGACTGTAATCCATTTGATTACAGCGGACAACTTATCCTCAATACCCACCACGCGGTTTCTCAAGAGTACAGAAATTGTGTTTTGGTATTTCCCTTCATGGTGCTATGCAGTTTGGTTCATTTTCTGCTTCAAGATCTTCGCAAATGATCCCTCCATATGAGAGAGGCCTGTGGAAGGCGTCTACAGGCATCATCTATTTAGTACGCTAGTGGAAATTCGAGTGTAGCTTTTCGAAATCTCCTTACATAACTCCAATCCATACTTCTTTCCGCCTAGAGAAATTAACTCTCCAAAATCCGTTTACAAAATGCAAAGTTGTCAACTCATGAATTCGAGGAAGTCGTTCCGCATAGTTTAGCTTCGTAAATTTAAATGACATATATATTATGGGGTCCAAACAAGTATTTGAGCCAACCGTGTCAAAGCACAGTTTATTGAGAGTTACAGTCAGCCAATAAATCGATGATAGTGTGGAGTGTCGTGTTGATTCACGTCCAGCAACCCGGTCGTCACAGCCTCACACACACGTCCCCCTTTTCACGGCGCGCCCGTCAGTCACTGGGCCAGCCTGCTCATTCACCCCCCTGTGTGTACTACCACTACACGCTTTGTGCACGCCTGTACTTTTACCAGTCCACTCAACTGTATCAGCCAACACAACACAACTAGACCGAGTTGTCTGGTAAACGGTTCTGCCTCGTGTTCTGCAATCTTCTTCAGCTTAGCAGGTACTCAGAGTAGGGTAATCGGCCTAGATTGACGCAGTGGCCCCGGCGTGGTTCAAGATAACATGCCGGGGCCCTCAACAATAGTTTCAAATGTTGGCTTTATCTCCGGAATGCACATGCTTCTCCACTTATCTTCCTCTTGGCAAACCATCAACGCCGCGTTTAAGATGTCTGTTTCATGTGTTAATTCCATTGAGGGAATAGTTTTGTTGAGTCTTTTAATTGGACCAGTTTCCCAGTCGTTGAGGCAATTAATTTCATATCAATGGAACTAAGTTACTCAGGGGTGTGTGAAGGGGAAACGAATTTATATTTTATTGCAGCTTTGCTTCATCAGTCCGCTTCATTTCCAACTTCACCGCATTTATAACTTGAGGTTGTTTATCATAAGTATTTCCAAATAATCGCAAGAAGTCCCGTTAATTTAGTGAAAAGAATGTGTCTCGTTGCTTAATGACTGCGAGACTTGATAGTGGGTTAGTGATTTCATGGTAAATACCAAACGTTAGCGAGTCCTGTGGTTATTTAGAGACGAACGCACGCTTAGTTAGGTTTGTGGCGAATTGACTACGCAACTAGTTCACCGTTTAATCCGAATTGCTCCACGATGTTGTGTTCTGTTTCGAAAAATCATGACAGTTGTGTTTATTATTGGAGCGTACACAAGCCTAGACAGACCACGCTCCAAACCAAACAAGTAGACAGAAACCGTATAAAAAAGAGGTTCACATTAATCTCCGCATTTCACTTTCTCGTATCTCAGACTCCTAGTCAATCAGATGCTTCAATTAACCTGTATTTTAGGTCTTCCAGAGCTCCAAACGAGTGTTTTTGAGGGTCTGGTTCGTTCCTTCCTTCTACAAACCATGTTAGTACCTTCGCCAGCCTTAAACGACGAGAAGGAGCTCTGCTGCCAATCGGAGGAGTCTCTTGGCGCCATCGAAATGCCGCTGAACATTACTGCGTCATTTGCACTTCCTGCTTTACAGGCCTCCTGCCAGAGCTTCATCGGATTCACTGTGGATCAGAGCAAGGGATTCTGCGAGTATACACCGATCACAGGTGTGTTAGAGCATGGTATTTTGGTTGATGTTAAGGATGTCCTTTCTACCCTGTTTCCGTAGTCACTATGGACATCCTGGGGCGGAGCAAATTGCATGCAAAACACATATTTAAGAATATGGTTGTAGCGAGCAGCAAGCGAGCACAGTTAGCATTCGTGAGCGAACGCAGTTTGCAAGCGCGAGCGAACACAAATCAATCGATTCTTACCGTGAATGCACTTCACACAAGTACGTGCGTGCTGAGATCGATGCATAGCGAAGCTATATAAACGCACTTGTTAGTCTGCACGACACACCCAAGTATTGGTTACTCTACTTGACCGGCGTGACGCGAATAAACGGTCGTGTTCTCTTTCGACTTTGTCTTCTCTCTTCTCGGGTTGTGAGGAACTGTTATCTATAGGGTTTTGCGGTAGTGCTAATTTAGGCCTCCACATGGTGGGTATGAGTTAGAAGTCCACGATTACAAACTCATTAATTTCGGTCGATATCAAGTAGTGCGTCAGCAGCAGTTTCAAGGTCCAAAACTCTTTAACCTTTTTGCAAAGTTACTTGCATTATAGTCAATGAGATTCCAGTTTGTTAATTCCTCAGGTTCTGGGGGGATAATTCTCAAAGGCGAATTGCCCTCACCGTTCCTCACTGTGATTTCAGTTAATTTATTTTTTGATTCTCTGCTGAGAGTTCATCTTTACTCAGTAACCTTGCTGGCCTACCAGTAAATCGTGTGTAAGTAACGTAGTATTAATGGAGTTGCATAGATGAGAAGCAACGCGTCATGAGGTTATTTGCACACGATCATAAATAAAGTTATGTGCCGGCATCCACCGGCATGGATTGACAAGTTCTCAAATACATTTAAACCTCATCCAGGCCTTGTTGCATCTGTTTATGTTGTTTGCATTTGTAGAGCAACCCGAGTCCATTCTAGTTTGGCCTCGCCGCGTTTTTCCAAGCAACCTGCGGGGAAAAACTGAAATAGTCTTGACGTGCAGCGACAACTGGGCTCTCAATACAGGTACTGACACGATCGAGATTTCTGCACTGATTCACCATATCACCCTTGGTATTACCGCTGGTCCTGACAGTCCCGCCTTATGAATTGAAAATCGCTGATTTTGAGCAGTGAAATCCAATCACTAAAATTGCTTTCCAACACGACCAGCCTTTAGTGCTGGTGGTGCCTACTAGGGGCTGATCACTAGACAGAGGAATATCTGTTAGGTCAGTTCATCCGTTTGAATCCGGTTACCTCAGAAAAAAAGCCGTGATACCACGCGCTCGGGAAAATGCGATCAGAAATGATTAAAACTACCAGATTTATTTTCGAACAAGTATAATATAGATGAATAACTAGCTGATTCCATGAGTTGGCTATTTTAGACGAGTTTTCTGAGCAAATCTTGACAAACTTCGTGCAATGCCACATGTGATCCCCAATAATAGGTATCCTAGCCACTTTTTCCTTGGTTGCATCAGCAATTTATAGTGGTGCAGGCGAAAAAAGGTAATAGAGACGGGTCACGCCCCGTACCGATGGCAACAGAAGTCAATAACAGCCTCTTAGTGTGGAACCCTAGGAGATTAGGGCTATCGTCGTGGATTTTTGGAAGGCTCCATCAGCGGAACAGTGCATGTACTTAATGTTTCAGTCTCAAGAGCTCGGAACTTCATGATGCGTCACCGCCGTCTTTGGTTAATACCCACCCCTATGCAGGATTTCTCTTCCAACGACGCAATGGAACTCTGTTACAACGAAGTTCGTGGCACCGAAGTGCCAACGAGGACGGAAAACGGCTTCCTCGACTACTGCGTGGTGGCCTTTGCTGTTTGTCCAAATGAGGGTGAGTGAAGCCCTATCGAGATTAAGTATTGCTCAGTGGATTAAATTAACCCCAAGTATTGATGATGCTGAGGGCTCCACGCGCTCACCTAAGGACTACTTCAGTCTTCTTTCTACATTAAATTTGAGGTGACGCTGAGTTCACAAAGGCCTTTGAGACTCAGAGCAATTAATTCCCTTATGGTCAGTCCTAAGTTAGATGCCTAACTTCCATTCGCACGGAAAACATTAGAGAAATATCCCTTAAGGCTGTTGCGATAGTCGCACAAACATTCTTGCCAACCATGAGCGAGAACGAAATCAATTTAGTGTCTTAAAGTTTTATATCAGTTTACGATATTTGTTTTGAGATTGATTTTCAAGCGTTCCTATTAAACTGATGCCCTGTTAAGCTTAAGGTCTGGTCTCTTAATAACGCAGTAAACGCCCCAGCATCTGTCGTTTACGTTTTATTTCTTCTGGAGCACTACGCACTGTCTAGCCAGAACAAAACAAGAAAGTTCTCGAATCACATGTCTCCAGGTGCGGTCATCGGTCAACTCCGTGGTTTCAACGTGGCACCCTACGCTCACCTTGAATCCTGAAACTCTTCTGTTTACAGGAAGCTTGAATGTTCCGCGCGGATATTCATTCAAAAACGAAATAGATCAACTCAAAATTGTTTTGTATAAATCCCCTTGAATGCATTTAACTGATTCATAGGTTAAGACTGTTATTTCAAGCACAGAAAAGAGCAGAACGCTTGCATCCGAGTCAGGAACTGGGTTAATAAACTGATTTATAAATCACTGCTGAACTCGGTCTTCATCAATTACTGACCTCATTTTTTTGGATGTTCTTGATTTGTGGTAATTTTGTCCTCCTGTGTCTCATTTTAAACAGATTTCGAAACAGTTTCCGCCTTCCCATATCAGCAATACGTAGTCTGTTGCGTCAAGCAACCACCCGAGGCTCAAAATACCCCCACAACGTTCCAAACAGTCTCGACTTGGCCGGAGCAGGTTCGAGCCATCGTGACCCTCGGTCGCAAACGGCCTGGGGATGAGGAAAAAGTGAAGGATCTGGCCGGGCCCACGGAACTCCACAGGGATCTCAGGCAGCCTGAGACGGATCATGGATGTCCAGAGTTTGAACAGTACTCAGTCATCCGCCGTTTTGTCAAAATGTGGCGGCCAAAACGATACAAGACACTATTTTCGCGACCCTCCATTCATCAATTGTTGAATGTCACCAAGGCAGCTGGTGATGATAAAGAAGCTTTCGCTAAGAGAACAGGAATGTGGCTTCAAGATGGGCTGCTCCATGCCATTTTCTGTGAATATCAGACCAACCGACCTGCGGAAGCTAATACTGACATCAGTAAGTTTTCCCCAAAATTCTGTTTAAGATGAGGTAAACAGCTTCAATGCTGAATATGAATAAGCACACAACTAAGACAAAGGCTTGTCGATGGACTCTGGGAGTGTGGTTGCAAATGGCTCTATTGCTTGATTGAATTTTAGCCTGGCCGGTGGACAATTATGCCATTCCGCAACCAGTGACCGGATGTCCACCAGCGTTCACATCGACAGACTTCATTCACCTACATGGTCGCAATGGCTTCCACTATTCACAAGTACGTATTGCTTTGAAGAAGTGTCGTTATCTAGGTACATTAGAAAAGGTCTTTTTAGGAATCTAGGTCCAAGTCACGTGCCATCCGTGAGTGTTATGTGAAGCTATTGACTGAGGCTTTGGGTAGCAGCGCATGCAGCTAAAACCTAGCTATTTGCAAAGCCAAACCAACATTTCTATTCTCCTCTGAAAACGCTTTAAATCTATATTCGAATCCCTAGTGTGTGTATCCGGGATGATTGTAGTGCTGCCCGTGGTTGTTCGCACAAGTTGGATGTACCTCGGTGTGCACTGCCGGTCCTTCGACGGCGGTTGTGCGTAAGTAGGCGTTTTAATGCGTTGAGTTCAGCCAGCACAGCTAACAGCTATCGACGTCTGTTGAATTTAATTAACGACGGGTACTTTCAAATCCAGGATGACGCGACGTTCATCCAATCACACTCAGGGACACTCAAGGTCCGGCGTGTTGATGACTAAATACGCAATGTTGAAGTGCCACCGCTTTCACGTGGCCAAATGTGAACTTGGATTTGCTAGGAATATTGCAAATTATCCATCTACGTTGTAGATATCGATTTTTACACCCATAATTGTTACTATGATATTTTAAGTTTTACTCAGCTGAAAGAAATAGACTAATACGTTTTATATACTGCCATGAGTTTTTTTTAAATATTAACGCGCATCTAATCACACACGCAGGGCTTATTAAGGATTTTCGAGCTTACCGGTACTGTTATTAGCAAACAATAATGACCGTCCTCAATTGTGACCAGTACTCAGCGATGTTGTTGAAAGATCACTTTTGACGTTGCATTATAACTGATGATTCATTAATGTCAAGATGCAACAGTTCAGTTCCCATCACCCTCCACAAACCATCATGCGGCAGCCCCCAGGGCGTCGTTTTTTATTGGCACCAGTGATATGTGCGTCACAAATCCTGTTATTTCATTGGCTTGCTTGGGAGAACATCGGCCAATCAACGCATCACCGTCGTTGCTGCCTATCGGATGGGGCCTGTTATGCGAAAAATCAAATAGAAAATGCCACTACTACGTTTATTCGGTCTTGGAGTTGTTCCCTATCGCGCTATCAGTCGATTGATTAAGTGACGGCCTAGGCAGTGATGTTTACACGCATTATAATCAATTTTTTTTAATAATTCGAGGGAAATCATCTCTGCTATGCTGTTTTGACGTTAAAGTCACTTAACTTTAGTAGCAATAGTATGGCATTGCCTGTGCCAAAAGTTAGCACATTTAAGATCAGCCTGGTGAAATAGGGGAAACGACAAATCATCGTTTGGGTTATTACATTGCAAGCACCGAAGTTTCTCGAGCAAAGTGGTATGGCTGTAGGTTTGCTTTATCGAACTCACTCGAGTCACTGAAGCTGGAACTGAGCGACAGACTCCTGGCGACGTTTTTGACAAGGTTAGCTGGTGATATCACCATTTCAGATAGATTAGTCTGGTGTTGAAAGCTTCCAAATGTGTTAATAGATTAAAGATGCCAGTGACCAGATAAAAGACTAATTCACAAGCCCCTTGCCTTTTTTAGCCCATACATTTGGCAGGCGATTTTATTGCCCATTCGAGGGCTGTGAAACTGCGCTATTGCCACCAGGAATTTGATCCTTCCCCATCCCACTGGAACAAAAAGCACGCGAGCTCCCTCCCGCCTGGTCACTACTGCGTTCTCCTCGTTGGCAGAAGGTGCCCAGCAGGTTAGTGAATTGAGGCCAATGCGACGATCTTAGGCACCGCAGAAAATGTCGGTACCATTCTTTCACACCGCGATTAAATATGGTCACATCACTTCCTTTGTCTTGCATCCTCAAAATGCGCGGAAAAAACCATTGTCACTTGTTTACTGATTGACAAACATGCACAGTGAATAATCACTTATGCCTAATTATCTCTTGAATATCGTCAATAAGATGCAGTTCTCGTGGAGTCACACAAACTGCCTTAGGGATGAGGGCAGTGGTTTCGTCGCGGCCACAATCTCAGCGTGAGCGTGACACCTCAAAGCACCATAAAGCGTCCATTGTGCAGGCTCTAGTTCTAATGCGGATGGGGACATCTTGGTTTTCCCTACTGAAAAAAGGCAAAGTAAAACGAATAAAGAAAGCTATTGGATCGCTATCAGTGAATGAGTAACCGATGTCCATAGGCCTTAGTTTCTAGTAACGTTTACTTAAATTATACATCAAAGCTTGTAGAAGCACGATAACTCCAGGTACTCAAATATTGCTGATAAAAATCCACTTAGGTTCCTTTAATTTTCACTGTAAATAACACGGGCAAGTAGACGTCCTCTCTGGTAACCAAACCCACCCCTCTACTTTGTCACTAGGCTTTACGGCTGGAAGCCTTTCAGTGTTCGAGGGTCTTCTGACACCCAACGAGACTCACAAGGAGGGCGGAATCGATATATCAGACCTACCCACTGGAACGGAGTCTTCTGCGCACAACGCCCCTCGCATTTTCCGGGATAAGGTGGAGAAGGGGGACACGGGGCTGACGTTCGACCGGGTCACGTACATGTTTTGCTGTCGTGCAGACTCACCCTCTGCGTCCATCCCGATCACTGGGTTTCCAAACGACACCGGGCCCTTCTACCTCTTCAGGTTCCTCGATTTTGGATTATATTTTCCGCATTATGTCGTAGTCGAAATGTTCCCACCGTTTGATACTAGAGTCATATTAGCTAAATGAGACTTACGTGCAATCCCTTAAGGGCTGGAGAGACGTGTCAGGAGATAGCGGGCCTGCGAGCCACCGAGGAGTACATCTGCATGGACGCCCCCGAATTCCTAGTGGGCACGGTTCAAATGACCCAAATGGAAGTTGTTGACAAGACTTACCACATTGAAGGATTCACTCCAACTCTCTCAATGTCAACGGACCATTGCAACGTGAAAATCAATCTCTGCTACTACGAATCCGGTAATGCTACTTTGACCGCCCTTACTTCTCACTTACAAAGGAGTTATTATTATTTAAACAGGTTTAATCCGTGGTTATTTAAACAATTTTAGTTAAGGACACAGAATTTAAGAATCAACTTAAAGATATATTAAATAAAATGCATTGGATTCATGCATTAGTAAACAGGCGACATGTTTGATTCCAGAAGGACACGAGTGGGTTGAATTTCTTCTCAACAATTTACTCTTGTAAGCGTTTGATTTTCATGAGTAAAAAAACCGTTTGCTCAGTGTGATGTTGAAGTGGGTAGTCACCTAACACGCATGATTTAGAGCTTGTCCGAGCAAGTTTACCTTAAGCTAGTTGGCATGTAACACACTCTTACATAACGTTGGTGACGCCGTTTGACGTTCACACCACCAATTCTCACTAACAATGGCTAACCCTATTGCTGAAATCCGTCTTGCTTTCTTGGAAACCATGCTGTCTGAAATTTTGCCCCCATATCAATAACGCTCACGTTTGATTTATACAACTTCAACTTCATCGGCGAGTTCAGGAGATTGTATTTCAGGTTCCAAGCTTTTGTTTATTGTTGTAAATCTATAGACAGATGTTGTACCTGAAATTATCTACTTTTTTGGTCAAAATTCCCTCCAAAAACCTTATGAAAATCTAAACTGCTGTTCCCACACAAGCAATTTGCTTGGGTGACGTCCGTTTACGACATATACTTTCTGGCATCGAGGCAGCTGATATGTCTTTACCAAATCTCCCTCAGCAAATGCGCCTCCCTGTACGGGGTAATGAAGTCGATGTCTCAATCCTGCACGAGTTATGGACGAAGTGCCTTCCTGTAATCACCAGACCTCTTGTTCACTAAAGAATCTAGCAGAAGCAGATTAGTTTCTTCTCCATGGAGTAGAAAACAGAGTGACCTCTCTCTTGACACAGCAGCAAGCACGTACAATTCAGGAAATAAATAATTCCGTGAACAGAGAGCCAAATCCACATTGCTAATAGACACATTTTTACGTGGACGGCACAACACCGCCGACCTAGTTTATCGTTATGGCGATGGAGCACGGACTTATTACTACGCATGCAGTCACCCCCAGGCCTTTAAGCCTGCCTCTAATGGTGGTGATTGGCCTAGGCACTCAATCTGGTCTCATCTTTCACATCGCCGGTATTGTTCAAGTTCTAAAGTTATTTTATGGACCCCGGTACAGAGGCTAATGAAGGATATTGACTTTAATTATCGTTCTGAGGCTTATGGCATTACCGCATGCCTTCAAAAAGGGCTTTGTGGCCCACGTGGTATGCCTTTTAGGACACCACGTTGAAAAGACGGTAATTATTCGGGAGTGTCCAATGCCAGAGGCTCACTACAGCTTGCCTTGCTCTCCTGGTTTAGTAAACTACCACGTAGGTTTCATACCGTGTAGGCCTAAAAATCTATCAATTCTGACAGATTAAACTCAACAAAATGCAACGTATTAACTGTCACAAAGCTTGATGTGGCATTCTAAGTGGTAGAGAGTGTTATAGTGAATTTCTTGAACCTTTGCTACTGGAACAAGGAAGCAAACTTATCTCGCATACAGCTGCCTTCCAAAATACTGGCGTCGCAGCCACACAACAGTCCTTACCATTCTTTTCCCGAAAACCTTAATCGGCGTAGACGCTTCACTTTCTCGAGAGTGCTACTGACAATTTATCTTGTCATAGACCAATCCCGCCATCTGCTAGAAGGACCGGAGTTCAAATTCTTTTACCACTCATAAACCCTTGGTTCATGCTCGTAAACATTCGATTCATGATTTTCGTGCACCACCTATCGGCAGGATCCTTTTGAGTCCGACTCACTATCTTGATAGAAACGGATCACCGGCTACTAAAAGGATTCAAGAATAAGTACAAAGTTTCGTTCTATTCCCTGGGCAATGGTGATTCTGCCTCGCATTATCCACCTACAAATTTATTTTTTTCCACCTCGTACTTTGTTCTACCATTCAAATTCTCTATTCAATTTAATGAACCGGTTCAGTGATCCCCAAGTACTAACGGGATTAATACACTATCGCTTAAAATGAGAATTCGCAATGAATTTTGGCCCGAAGCATCCGATCAAGAGTTCGCCCTTGCAGGCTTTCCTCAAGTTAGGTGGGGTGTGTGACTCAGTCTCACACTTCATTCATTCCTTCTTCGCAAATTGATCTTTGAAAATGCCCACACCGATCACTAACGCATCGAGCGTGCGCGATGTTTAATATATCCTCTGTTTCTTCTGTTCTCTAATTTAATTAGCGGAGGCCACATAACGATAAAGCAATATGTAAAATGGCGTTGCAAGTTTTGGGGTATTAGTGTTAGGATCATTAAATAGTATTTCCTGACCAAACCTCTCATCAGGTCGATCAAGTACCTATTGTGTTGTGCTAATTTGCTGGCATGCCCAACGTAGGCTTTCATACCTCGATGATATGCGATCAGTGCTATTGTTGAATTGATTTTGAATATAGTATAACCATAATCTTGTATTCTTTCTTCCTCAACAGCTATACCGGAGCCCGAACCAGAACCTCAAGGCAAGTCTTTTTTTAATATGCTGCTTTAGAAATTAAAGTTATCAGACTTTTTCTACAATACCCTAATTAGGTTTATTATTCCCACCTTAAACGGATATTTACTTATTTAAATAAGTAACATTGATGTGTCGTAAATTTATCGTGCATTTAATTCCTCTAGAGGAAAAGAACAACGGCTCCGCGTGGCCTCTTGGGTCCTACTCCCTCCTCACCACCATCCGCGAGGATGGGACACTGGCATGCCCGCCTGGTTTCTCCCTCGCCATTCGCTACAACATCAGACCCGATGTAATTGCCAACACGTTTTTCCGTCCAATGTCGTTCTCGGAATACTTTACGCAAAAACCCACTGCCACGGACGACATGCTCGCCAGTAACGGCACCATAATGCCAACGCTGCACACATGTGAGAGGAACGCCAGCGACGTGCCCGAGGCCTACAATCTCACCGCGTTCCCCGACTGGCCGCCGGGCAACTACTGTGTCCTCATGGACTTGCACACACGGAGCTGTCCACAGGGTAGGCTTTGTCACTTAATTTGATAATTAACGCCATGTCAGAAGCTCTCAAATGGGGTTATGACTACTGCCACATTGTCCTAGGACCATAACTTAATATGTGATTACAATTCCCCGATGAATCTTAACACTGCTTATTTTTTATAATGCATTTTCTCGATCGATTAAAAAGGCAAGTAAAAAACCCTTCTGCTTTCACAGTTGATGTTGCAAATGGAATTGAAACTGAAAACCTATAAATGTGCAACTCATTGTGGATCGGTGATCCACGGTCTTTCTTACAGTTACTTAATAACCCCTTTTCTTCAGTGTCCCGATGTCATTGAAATACTAGTCTGTAGAGGGTAATTTGTTTGAGGTAGACAAGTATTTTGTCGTTTCTTTTTCGCGGCCTTTCGCGTCTCCCTTGTCTGCACTCCCGTCAGGTGTCCTGCTCTTCATTTAAGCACGTCAACGTTTACAGTTTGCAAATTTTTCTTCTGGAAGTTCAGGCGGGAGTAGCTGTATGGAAGAACATCCGGTTTCCATTGCACTTCCACCACGTGTTCTGATCTAACCTGATCCCATTCTCCTGAGGGCAGATAATGACTTCACCCACTTTCACAAAGTGAAGTCAGTCAGGTTTTGACTCAGCTGGGTTTTGACAGGAGACAGCTTATGTGGTGCCATTTATCCAATGGTTGAAAAAATATCAACCTAATGATTATAATACTCTGATTACTCAACGAAAGCCTGATGCCAGCTACGATACAATGACTGAGGCCTCAAATGTCAAAGGCTTTATTCGTGACCTTCTAAATACCAACCATACTAGCAGGTTTGCAGAGCATTTACCTAGGATGTGGAGCTGATTTTCGTCTTTGCGAAAACAACCGATTGTTGGAATCTGGCAGTTTTGGTTTAGTTGGAAATTACATTCGACTGTACCCATTGTTGTGGACGGTATGGGGTTACTAGTGGCGTGCAACGAAGCAAAAAAATGAGGAATTGTGTTTTGGGCACAATATTCCATTACCCCAGGTATAATATTCCCAGGTCTTGACTACATTGTATGCACAGATACCCGAGAAAACTATGAAGACCGGAGATGGCGGAAACACAATCGTTTACCAGATTCATGAAAAACAACTCCTAGGCCCTTCACTTAGTCGTTAGAGTTCACACCACAAAGTCAGCTTATTCCTGTCCCTTTCGCAGTCTTTAATGGCTTCTGATGTGGGAAGACTTGGACAGCATCGAAACCGTAAGACTCGATTTCCAGAGACATTAGGATAGCTTTAACGCCAATTCAAATGCATTTCAGGTTGCACAAAATCAGTCATTTTTTTGATCTGGAATATTCTTTGATCTTCAGTCGTATTGTTTCACTGCCAAGTAAAATCCGCAAGTGTCGCAATTTTTTGTGCACTGTTTGGTGAGATTTTCACTTTCTACGAAGTTTTACGGATCCACTCAAAACGGCATCCTCCGTTATCCATTCAGGCCAGATTTGGAGCAGCAACGACCACAGCAGGCTCCTCAATATCCGATATGAACAAGTTTACCCAGTGGGACTTTTCATGCTGCTAGATTATGCGGGGCATCAGACGTTGCTTAAAAGACCTGCACTTTATCCCTTTAGGCCATCATTTAACGAGGGGCTACATTTCCACCCAGGTTCTTCTCAATACTCAACTCCACTTCGGTTGCCATCGTTATTCACACCCTTATTCACACACTTGTGCCACGCCAGAATGATCCATCTATCTTCTGTCTAGCTACTTTCTCATTCTCAACTTTGTGGCTTTCTTGTTTTATCTTCCTTAATGATAAAAGGAAACAAATAAATTTCTGTTTTATTATTGATTTAAATCCCATCTCGTGGCCGCCACTCGACTTCACCTCTCATGTCACCAAGGAACAAACGTTCGACGTCTAATTCGTCTTCATTACCATCCTAACGTAAATGTTACCCTAATTGGATGTAGAATTGTTAAAAATGATGTCATATGTTAACCACATCACCTTGGAAAATAAGCATAATTCCGTCGGTGTTCTTGCCGCACTCCAGGACTTCATCGATTCACACGCCAATTGGCCGAGTTGTGCTGTCACACCGGAAGCAGCGGCCCGTTGGCGCCCGTAAAACTGCCCTTCATTGGCGATTTCTTCCTCATGGGCGCCTTCGACGAACCCGACCTCACCTGTCTTCCCATTGAGAACACTCACGTAAGAAATCAGACCTGTGAATTGCGCTCGTGCATTTTTTAAAAGCGTGTAGGGGCAAACATTTAGCACCACCACAAGACTCCATGGATATCAGCCGGTCACAACCCTAAAAGAAAGAAGACAGAGTCGAAAGAGAACACGACCGTTTATTCGCGTCACGCCAGTCAAGTCGGGTAACTAATTCTTGTATATTTGTACAGAATAACATGTGCCTTTATACAGCTTCGCTTGGTATCGATCTCTGAAGGCACGCAGTTGCGTGAAGTGCATTCACGAAAATCGATTGAATCGTGTTCGCTCACGCTTGCTAACTGCGTCCGCTTGCTGCTCGCCACAAGCGACTGTGTGGCTAAATTTTACCGATCTGGGGGGATGCACGTGAGTAGTAAAAAATTCAGACAATATGGTTGATCGGAAATAGCGCTATGTCAATCTATTTCTTCACTGTGCAAACTACCTAAGCCAAGGTCTCTATGTGATCGATACTTGTTCCAAAACGGTATTACGTAAGGAAATGTCAAAGAGAATGCGAAATCATTTGAGTTTAATTGCATGTTTTAGTGGCGGCTTAAATTACTTTTAGATTTAGATTTAGTTCTAAAGATCAACAAAGTGCTGATGCTATTTGATCCTAAGCCATCAAATAACAAAAAGGCCATTTTCAGAGTCAGACACCTTATTTCAATTCGAATCGCCTCTACATACTTCTCGTAAAACCACATTAAACCGGGCGTAGAACTGCAACTCACTTTTTACATTATGATACGGTCTTTTTTGAAAAGGTTGAAAAGTACGTGGTGCTCCTCTTTTCTGCCGTGGACCCGCACATCCACAGCTTGTGCCACTACCTGCCTCTCGAGTGGCTGCAGACCTCTCGCACGTGGCCGCGTGGGGACTACCTTCTGCCAATCGGCAAACGCGGGCAGCAAATCCCCTCAATCAGCAACGACGTCGAGCACGCCACCGAACTCACCAAGTTCTCCTGTCCCACTGGCTTCCACCGGCTGCTACACGAGTATGAGATCTACGACGAGGAATTCGAGGGCTCCACCGGCGAAGTCCCCAGCGATGCGAGCGCCTCTCAGGTGATGCTGCATTTTTGCCAGCGCGACAAGGAGGACCCGGAGGGCGCGAAAAATGTGCCTTGGCCCAAAGGCGACTACTGTGTGATTGTGAACGGCGCTATTTGTCCACCGGAAATGCGTACGTTTCTGCAGGGTTTTATGATTTCTCTGACTGAAGTGTTTCGTTTGCGGTAGTTTTAAGTGGAGATGCTTCATAGCGCCTACGAGGTGTCTGACTATGAATTGGCCTTGCTCCTCCTTCTCCTCTGATCCGATTTATCCCTCATTCGCCCTTAACACCCTCAGTCCTAGAAAATGGAGCAGTTGGTAAAATGACGTCACAAGTTTTTATGATATATCAACATGGTGCGGCTCTAGGCATGTCTGCAAAGCGCCGTGTAAAAAGAGGGGAATGAGGCATGCGTGTTCACTGAAGAACTTTGGAGGGAGCGCAATGATTACACCAAGTCACTATTTTTCTGCACATAGCTGACTTCTAATTTAAATACTACAGCTAAATGACCGCCTAAAAACTTTCTAGAGCTTAGTAAATGGTCCATTATTCGTGCGAATTTCACGTAGTGCCCTGTCAACTGCCGTATTTGGAGGTGGTCCAAAAAGCGATGTTTTTAACTAGAGGTGTCAATAGTTGGGCAGACAGTGAATATTTTCATAGAGAGGTAGAATTACAAAACCTATTAACTGTTCTTTTGTGTTTGGGATCCTTGAGACTGAAATTATCGGTGGCAATTGAAAAATTGAGGATTTACATGGCCTCTGCCAACATGGCATCCATTTAAGTAGATGTCCTAACAAGACGTCGACGCAGAAATAAAAATTGATTGTGTCGGGAGTAAGAATGGGCCAACTTAGGGCTTCCGCCTCCAAATGAACACGATTCACTGCAAGAAGTACATTTGTTTAGGCACTTTCCATCCAGCGAACCCCTGGAATAGATATTTAGTCAGGTAGACAAAGTTATTGTGTCGTACTGAGAGAGGTGTGATTTAAGGGCTGTTATTTAAAGCAACGTAATGCGGCGAAGTAATGTTTTTTGAATGTAGGTGCTTCAAATGAGTTGGTGATGCGAATTCCGCGAAGCTACTTGCGAGCAATCCACAATGCAACTGATTATGGAGAGATAAAAGAAGGTCAATCCATCACGATGCCAGTGGGTTCTCGCCAAGTCACATACTATTCGGTCTGCTGTCGGGAGGACAAGCAGTTATTGGTGGATTTGCCTACCTTTTCGGGTGGGATGTATATGCCTGCGGGATCAAGCCTTTGTTCAAGCATTCCAGGAACTTTCATTGAACACGAACAGGTAGTTACTTTGATAACGAAAGCTCATTAAAACATTAGCAGTACACGACATGCATTCCCCCGTCAATTTGGCAAGTGGGCATTGTATAGTTTAGTTTTAAATGATTCGCCTACACTGCAAGGCCTTCTTGGGTCTCACATTAAATGCTGCTGAAGCACTCAATATTGCTCTTCCAGAAATACAGTGCTTTAGCACTTGCTACCACAATTACGAATGGTACTGAGGACCTTTGATTCATGTTTTACCAGGTGACGACTTTCCTTGACCCCACCTTGTTGGACCCTTACATGAATGACAACGAAGACGCGCAGGATATGGGAATCAAGCAGCAGGGGTGGATGCCGCCGCCGTTCGAGGAGCCAGGGGTTATGACTCTTTGCTACTACCACCAGATGCAGAAAATTACCAAGGACGGGAAGAGTGAAGACGGAAACATGCTGCATGAACTTCTCGAGCCTGGTAGCACGGCTCTGTCCTTGTGGTTAGCAGGTGGGTTGGTTTAGCTGTTTGTGTAGCATAAAGATAAACTACGAATTTCCAAGTCCTTTGGTTCGCGCTGGTATTCATGTAGCCATTTGACTGACAAATGTTCGCAGATCTCTAATTTGATTTGTTCTTGAGTCAGGCTGCAACTGAATGAGTGATTCTTATCCACCGTCCTTCTGTTTGCTTTGTTGATCGTCAGCGATTTCTTATGTTTGGATTAAGGTTTTTAAGAGGCATATAATTTCAGCACAATGATCATTTTGTTTAAATCGAGCACGAAAAAATCGAGAAGTTCTTCATTCCAGGTTAAGGGTGTGTACAAATGACAGAACATTGCAGGATCTCAACAGATACTTTTGTCTCCATGGCATAGTCGCTGTATGAGATAGTTGGACCGGATTGTAGTTCTCTGCTGCTGTATAAAGTGTTCTTGTTGGATTAATAGGCGAATGCGGTTGCGCAGAGAATGCTTATTGTCGACCGTTCAAGCGTTTCTCGTGTAAGTGTAAAAAGGGCCACTTCGGGGACGGTGTGCGCGTTTGCCGTCCTGTTACTCCCCTCACAGACCCCTGTGCGAACCTCTGCCACAAGGATGCTGAGTGCAAGACTCGTAGAAAGCACTCATTCATCAGCAGAACCGTAAGTGCCGCGGGTTTCGTTTTCTGTGTGTTTTGGGTGTTTTTTTGGAGACAGGATAACCTCCACTTGAATTTGTGGCTACGTCTTATCACCTTCGTAGTTGATTGACTCTACAAACTGCTCAGGCAAGACACCTAGCACAAAAATTGACTCTGGTTTAATAAAAACGGCAAAAAACGGGATCGGTCCCAGAAGCGAGCGCTTTCGAAGAGCACTTTTAGGACACATCGTTTGTGTTAACTTGCACACAGGGGTCACCAATCATAATATAGGAAATCGCCACATTTTTATTACTTTAAACTTTGGATCGTACACTTTTTGTGGCGCAGTCCCAAAGGTAACGCCATAAACACCCTAACGATGTAGCTGTGTTCATCTTCCACTGACTTTTTATGTAGCAGAAACTTCATTATTCGGCTTTTGATTAGGATAAACCAAGGAATCTTTGCTTCTGTAGGCGTTTAGTAGAGTTGCTAGAGTAAAAAACGTAAATGGTAAATTGTTATTGCTAGTTTTGATTCACTAGTAGGATATAATTGTTTATTGAGTGTCTTTAAGCTCAAGATACTCTGTCATATCTAGAAGGAGGAAACAGCTTGTGTTTGCAAGCCAGGCTTCGTTGGTGATGGATTCAACTGCCTGCCGCAGTGCAGCGCTCACAAATGCCAACCCTTTAGTCAGTGCAAGATCCGAAAAGGCGGTAAGTCATCTATCTATTTTTATCGCATGAACTTCTATCTTACCAAGGAACTAAGACTGCCTTATTGAATTTAAAACGTGGTTATGCTGGGTAACATCTAATCGCATTTTCACGATTGTGCAAATATGAGACGTAATCACATCATTGGACATTTGACACGATGTATCCAGTTAGAACAAGCTCCATGACACAGCAAGCCTTGTTCTCGAAACCCGTAGTTGCATTATCACTTCTGTTTCGTAACAGGGCTGACGTGGGACTTCGACAACTACTTTACTGCCTGTAAGGTGGATCTAAAACGGTTTGTAGCTACTGGTTAATCATTACCGCAGCGCGTTCAGTAAGCACACAACTTCGTACGGGTCATGTGGCCCATTCAGTCGGGTGAAAGAGGAAAACCTGTAAACTCACTGTGTTAATTTTGCCATAAGACCTGCTCTCCGTGATGATTTTCTAACAGCAATACTGACTCAACTTTTAAGTAGGTAGTATGTTCCAAAATATTGAGCTTCCGAACGAAGCTCCTCACAATTTTCTTAATACATTTTGCATTGATAATCAAGGCAAATATCTGGTTTAGTTCCAACATGTGTTTGCGTTCCCGGCACCATTGAGGATGGCGAGGAGTGCCACTTTGATATCTATTCGAGCTTCCAAAAAGAAAAGATTCTCCCGCAGTACATGCTGCAGCATCTCAGTTGCTTCGATGACGAGGTGTTCAAGGCACTAATATTACAAAAACCGAAGCGAATTTTCATCATCTTCTCCCCACCAAAGGTAAGTGGGAAAGTTCGCAGACTAAATACAAGTTTGTCACACATTGTTCAGTACAATTTTTGCGTCTCCCTCTTACGTTGTCATGTTTTTCCCTATTTTATTTGCCATTGAAATGTCTTTTAATTCAAAAGTTCACGCCTGAGTAAAAGCCATTTTTTGCTGGCTAAAAGCCAAACTTTTAGTTAAGTGTTGGGAGAGTGCGAAGAAAGAAAACAATGATCTTTTGCAGTAGGCCCCTGGGAGAGATCTGGTTAACTGATCCTTCCATAATGTTAGATCTGTTTCAAAGATGTGTCCAAAAGTGCTCCAAATAACACAACCTGTCGTTTAGATGAACGAAACATTGGCTTAATAAAAATAATAAAATAAAAATCGAACAGGGGCAGATCCAATATTCAGTGGAGAGCTTTCCAGCTAATCTATTCCCTTCTAAAGATATTTTATTAACGTTACCGAAAGACATACCTTAGCCTCGGGCCTTACGTGGCTTTTCTTCCCCATTGACAATCGCTAATTTCCTTTTTTTGATGCCTTCCAAATAGTACTGTAGTGCAACCCCAGTCTTCGTGATCTATAAGTTCTAATGGTGATGCTTAGTTTGGCGGGACGAGTATTCAGCACCAGGAATGCGATAAGGAGTCTTGAGATACTCTGTTTTCTTTTTTCGAAGCTTTTAAAAACCTGTGATGAAATCGCTTCGCACATTGCCATGCTGCCGGATGAAGCGGAATACCAAAGGTTCATCACCTCCCAAAGCTACAACCTTATCAGTCTCAATGGCAGTCTCATAGTCATAAACAATACGGTATGGTTTGCTTGTCAAGTCAAGAATCGCAAGTAGTCCTGCATGGCATTGGTAACGGCTAAAAGGGCTCTTGATTTAATTTCGAGTGCGTCCTTTTTAGGGTGCGTTGACTGCGAACGGTGACGCGATTCAAAACAAACCGAAGCTGTTTACAAACGGTCGACTCTACTATACATCAGCCCCACTCGCGCACATCCCAGTAAGTACCGAATTTTTGCTTTATTTACACTTCCATTTAACGAACACACTGTGTAATTGTTTGATGTCGTTGGTTAGCGGTTTTTAGTTGAAGCGATCACCGCCTCAGCGCCTAATTTTCCTGCATCCCAGCTTCTTGGGATTTTGTGCTGCAGGCAACTCGCGGCCTCGCAAGCGCTCATTTTGAACGATTTAAATCTCACAGCTTTGTTGTCCGACGACACTTTTCTTTGCTGACAGCGCGTAATGTTAATTAGAAAGATATTGTTAATCGTGTTGTTAGGGTAATTTCAGTGTGTTTGGGGTCGCTACTTGTGGGACTAAATGTGAACTTGAAAATGGGTGCAGGCATGGACGGCTGGTTGGAGCTACCAGGTCACTTTAGTCGATATCCTAGTGGTGGAATCGGTTTCTGATGGGCTGGTATGTGGATGTACTAATATCTATGTCATTTACACGGGTGATATGTATTTTATGCAGTTTAGAGCTCATCTAATTGCTCACAGAAGCTTATCGTTCTATATCCGTACTCAGCATGGTTCACGTTGTCTAGTCTGACGACTGCTCCGTTGTACCCTTGAACTTGACCGGAGAGGTTAAAGCAATGACTCATTGCCGTTTTGTGGTGCTTTGCTTCAGCATAAATCTCCCATGGAGTCACATAACATGGGATGCTGGTTTTATGAGAAAGATTCTTCCCTTTTCTGAGGTCATGCGATGCCGATGAATTGGCACGTGAATGATTACATGTGTAGAGAGAATGTTCTAGTGAAAATAAAGAACCACCCTCAACCACTCTCTATCCGGGTGGGTAGTTGCGATTTTCTGTCATCCACAGCGCGTTCCCACTTTGTCAAAAAAAGTTCTTTTCAGCGAAAATTCGAGTAAAGCTAACTAAACCCAGCCTAATTTATACAGCATCCTCGATTATCCTCTTGCGCAGCACCTTTTCTTTCTAGTCATCAGACTGGGATGGTGAAAAGTCACTTCCATTGTTCTTTTGCTTATGAATCAATCTTTATGCCTATTATTCTTCCGTGCTTTCTAAACAATACCTAATATATTTACTTTCCACATAACTAAATGTTTATAATTTCATGCTCTCGTCATGAGTGACTTTGTTCGTCTGGTAAAAAGAACCTCTTTAGCCTCGTTTGGATAGAGTAGCATGTGATTTATTAGAAATTTACTGGCTAATTAAGCAGATAGGTATTCGTGGTTTTTTTCCACTATTTTAGGCTCCTGATCGATCGTCAACAATTATGTCCGCCTCCATAATCGTTCCGTGCCTAATCGTACTTTTCTTGCTGGTTGTTGTGGTGTTTATCCTCAAGCGCCGGAGGCCTCAGTTAAAGATTTTTAACCTTCGACGACCGGTAAGGCGTTGGCAACAATTACACGCTCTTTGCGTGCACACCGACTGTCGCTGTGTTCAACTGATTTCAAGTTCTTTGCCTTCTAGCGCTTCCAAAGGATTGGTGTAGGACATCAGGCAAGCTGGCGCGGATCCGATGGCGTTTTGATCGCGTCAGAGGACAACGAGGAATAAAGAAATCTCCCTTTCCCACCCTTCCGACTGTAAATCACTAATCACATTCATATAGACTACCTGATTGCTTTCTAAAAGATACGACTGTTTTTTAAATTTCTAAGTTACCATTCCACATAAATTATAATATACTGTACTTCTATTCATATCCAAAATAATTTGGTAGGGTGATGAGTGGAATAACTATTTGAGTGTGACAGGAACCCTAAACGGTCAAATCATGGCAACAGTCAAATCAGTCAGTCAACGAAAAACATATTTATTTCAGTTTTTCGTAGTTATTTCATTGTTCTAGAAGTCAAATACTTATTATTCGTTAGAACAACCTTAGTGTTTTTCAAAAGAATCCCAGGAATGTCAACATATTTTGATCCTGTGGTCTTCACATGTACGTGGGTAGCAACATGTTAAGGTCCACAAGGGCAAATTTGAATGGGAGGACACAACGTTGAACCTCTAGGGGGTTTGTTGCGGCACTCGCTGGCGAGCCTTTGCGTTCACGTGACCCACGTGGAGGGCCGGCCGGTGTGTTCTTGCTCTTCGTCGTCGACCGGGCCCGGTACTTGGCCGCAGGGCCGGCTCAGGAGAACTTCTAATTGAACTTCTAGTGCTGGCGGGTGAAAGCCAAGTACTTTTACTAGAAAATCTCTACCTTTTAGTGATTGTTCACTTTCGGTCAATTCCATTAAGGGTTGCAAAATGTCTTTACCGAAAGCCGGTGTTATGGTGGTTACTAACGTTCATTGTGAGAAACCACATCCAAAGAACCCATATGTCCACACTCATCTTAAAGGTCTCCGCAAAAAGGTCTAAGTTACCGAAGTTGTAAGCAGTTGTCGCTGTCACTCGTGGACCTTAAGATTGTCGAATTGTTATCCTTTTGTGCTGACTTCAACGACTTCCATGGGACATCCAAATTTTGAAGCTCCCCACTATTACTTGAAAGAGTTCGTCAGAAACATACTCGACAGAAGGGAGTATTTCCTAGTTATATCCCTTTTCCTTTAAAATGAAACCGAACAATCGTTTAAAGGAGTTGTTCGTCTGTTATTCATTTCAAACGTGGCCCTTAAAAAGAAACAAAAAGGTGAGGATTCCCTACCTTCCCTTAATGTCATACTGGTATAAAATAATTACGGTAGTCTAAAGGCTGTAATGTTTAGTTTGCTGGGGAACAATGCCTTCCTTAGAACAAAGTGTCCCTTCTGGGAAATGTCATCAATTAAGGCATTGATTCGTTACTTCAAAGGCACTTTAGACGTATGCTGCAATAATGAAAGGTACTTTGCCTGTGAATCAATGGGCCACGCTGTGGTCAGAGGAAACCCAACAAAAATTGTGCAGCTTTCATGAGGGAGGACGCGGTTTTATTGGGGGATCCGAGATGCCTTCGGTGTGAGAGACAACCGCATAAAGGCGTTTATCGATTGGGAGTAGACTTGAGCATTCTATCCTATAACATTACGTGATTAGAAGTGTGGTTTATTCATAAGGGATGAGGCCTTGATCTTGTTGTGATCTTCGATCGATGCTGTGTCTGCTTCGTTCCTTGATTCTGTTGCTTCTAATTGCTGGGTTGAAGTGGTTAACTGCTGCATGATAGTTCGTGAATTGCTGAGTGCCTGGAAGGAAGTTCATTTCGCTTGCGGATTAAACAGTAACAATTCCCAAAAAAAGTCAAAAAATAATTAATGCATTTACGCTATTAAACCCTCCATTAAGCCGATGAGTGTTCGGATGTATCCAGGCTTAAATGGAGTAGCTGAATTTTAATTTTCACGCAAACCTTGATGCTTTTGCGGCAAGATACCCTATGGACGGGTAAGGAATACATGACGAGTGACGACAGCAATTCAAACCTGGATAAACTCCTGTGCTAGAGAGCCAATGGTTCACACGAGCAAGTCTGCCGAAAAGGCACCCAACTATGAGGCGATAAACACCGAACTCAGCAATCTTTGCCCTCTGTTTGCCATAGTGCCTCATTTCTTTGATTGTGTGAAAACGCTGAGCACTGGAGAACTTAATTCAGCAAGCCCTTTTTTCGGTAAAAGATCAAGACTTATTTACTTGATTATATAGTACCAAAAATGGTAATGCAAAAAATACCGGCAGTTTTCCCTGTTTCCAAAAGATAACTCTTGTTCCATGCAAAATCCATTGTAATAGGTGGGTATTGCGTTATCAAAATCAGTTGTGATTCATTGGGCTTATTCACAAAAAAAACATTGGCGGGTGGGGAAGCTAAAGTGGGAATATTGGAAGACAGTCGAGAAACTGGTCTGCATTTGCATTGCTCACGGGGTCGATCATTTGTCAGCATCCCTAAAACAAACGAAGGTGTGCTGTGGAATTCATCGGAGGAAGCTGGCGTGTCAGGCTCTCGGTGTAAATCGGCTTTCCGTTGAGCTAACTGATGGTCAACCAGCACACACACACACACATTTCCTCATTGCGGCATCACCCTTTCCATTGATCTTTAACTGAAGGTTTTCAAATATAGATCAACCGGCGAAACTGTCTAATGAAAGTATCTAACTGAGTGGAGAAGCATGAAAAGCAGGAATATTGCGCTACTCTGAAACTAAGCATTAGCTGGCAGAATTCACTTCAAAATAAATCACCTGTTTGCATTTTGAAGCCAAACACAAACGAATTTATGAATGTAGGTAGGGTCAATGCAGGCCATAAATTGTCCAGAAACAAACTAGTCGCAATATGCAGCTACAAAAATTGCATGATGACCAACTGCCACCAAGCAAGTGGTGCAAGTATAGGTCATGTAATGAACATAAGCACCCAAACGGATTGCATAAAGACGTACAATTCCAAGGTGATGGGCGCGTCGTCCATGTTATCTAATTTTGGATCGAATTGGATATTGAAGGGGTTGTCTTCGCCGTCTTCTGACTGGTTTAGCCCATTGTGCCAGGAACCGGCTGGCGAGGCCTCTAAGCTTTTGCAGACCAATTTTGAGGTCTTCTTCTCCTTCAACAGCGCCGTAAGGGAGTGCAGACGGAAGTGGAGGCGAGCTTCAAGACTGTACTTCGTGTAAGTCCTGCGAAGAATAGGAAAAACAATGAGTACTGCACATTGGCAAAATGTTTTAACCTTGTGGGTATTTAGATAAACTACAATTCTGCCATTAAAGTTCGTGTTAAACTACAGTGTTGAGTGAGGACAAGGAAACGCGTCAGGTAATATGGACCTCCATGGTCGGACCGGCTTTGTGGGGAGACTTCAGGTGGGCCAAGAGACAAACATGAGACGAACAGTTGGCATGACACAACGAAAACAGGAACACGTAGGGAAACTGCCAAAGCTTTTTAAAGGAAAATAAACTGTTTGAGACTCAACGAAGGGTTCCACAATAAAACATTCTAGTAGTATGCCAGTCTCGCATGCGAGGAAACATTTACTAAACCTTTCACTGAATGTTTTTGCAGTCATGCCATTGCTGCTTTGTTTCGTCATCCTGATTTAGAACTTAAAAGATTTGATTTTGTAGATGTCATACTTTTCTTAACTACTGATATAGCAAATTTGCCTCATATTGTCAATCATACAATTTTAAACTGTATGTAAAACTATATTTTCGTGGTGGTGCAAATGAGTGCCAGAAGCAAATAAGGTAAATTAATTCTTCAAAACAACGGCTAGTTCATGTAATAGCACCACCATCACAATGACAAACAGCAAGTTGAGTTATGTGAACTCAGTGGTACTCGCATGGGAGGGTTCAGTGCTTAATAGGCCTGATTTTTTTAATAAACGCCTATGAATATAGCTAGACTACACATCTCACTCTGTGTAAGCAATTTATAAAAACAGGAAAAGTGGTTCTAGTGGTTCCTGTTCTGGAAAATTCTGCGGAAAAAAAGTACTCAGGTGTTAAGCATTGGAACTGGCGTCGTCAAAAAGGCCTTTAACGAGAGTGCCCTCACCAGGCTTTATCGAGGTGCCGTTTCGCCTCGTCCAGTTCCCCTTCATGCATAGCGATTTGGCAGAGTTCTACCTCACTGAAGGGCAGCACGTACTTATCCTGGCGAATAGCTTTCTCGCTAATAGAAAAAAAAATTAAAAAAAAAGATTTTTATACAGGCTGAATGATGCATATTCACTACAAAGCAATTAAATGAGGACTGTGGGTTACTTCGGGAAGTGAGCAACGATTCGCCCCAGCTACTGGACCAGACTGCTAAAATTTTCTAAGTTATGAGGGTAAAGAACTTCAAAAATATGCTAATGGGCAGAGGCATATTTTTTTAAATAGTGAGCTCTGGACGATATCAGGACATGTGAAATGTTAAGACAAACCATTCACTCCAAAGCCGAGACGTTTAACCGTACATACATGATGTTCACTAATAGTGCGTAGGCAACCTCAATTATTAGCTCCCGCAGGAGCTACAAAATTTTAAACTTCTTGTAGCGAAAGCATTACCAAAGCTTGAAATGATCATCCCAATTTAGGTTATATACCGGAGCTAATTGAGATCGTCATTTCAAGAATGCTCAGATATTTTAATTGTTATCAGGCTCACTCGGCACGCTTATGACTAAGCCGACAGTCAGATCTGAAATTAACTATCACCTTACTTGAATTAAAGAATACTTTTGGAAGGCTGTGTTAATGTAGATGAACACTGTTGCAGTCAATATTGCATCATCAACCACCTGGCTTAAAATTTAACCAAGCCTGTATCTTACTTCATGAGGACCTCAGTGAAACACATTTTAGCTTGGAAATTCTTTTTCAAGCAGCGAAGACACACGCCCTTCAGCAGGGTTGCCATACAGAAATCGTCTGTGAAGTTCACTATGGAATCTATGAAAGGAAAGTAGGATGAGAGGCATGAGAGCATAGTGGAAATGTGAGCACAGATAATTCGCTGAACATCGCCAGCCATTCTCTTGCTGAGGTTGGCACAAACCTCCCACTACTTGGATGTCGGTACACCTGGGCAACTTTCACTCTGCCACTTAAATGGCTAAAAGGAGCGTCTTTGAGGCCCAGATAAATGGCAATTAGGGGCGTGAAATATGTCGATCATTGCTAAATTCTTCCGTGCTTTAAATTTAGGGCAGTGGTTACTGTACCAACCAAGCAATTTGATCAGAGAATGCCTTCAACTGCAAGTACTAGTAATTCAATAATAACGCATAGCTGACTGGTCCAAAAAGTAAATGTTTATTTACATTATTTACTAGCCGAATTTAAATAGCGGCTTCTGTTAGATTTACCGGGCTAAATTAAGATCTATGGAGGAGTTAAAATGTCGTGGAAATTGGCTGATTTGCTGAAGTTAGAAAGATTTATAGCCGTGAGACTTCGGCTTTAATTTATAATACGCAGAAAACAGAGCACTTTACTGTTCAGCGGAGCTTTCACAAAAATGCCAGCGGACTTACTTTTGTTTGTTACAAGGTTCTGGATTTTGGCCTCGATTGTTAGAAGAAATTTGCTGATGAGTTCTTTTTTGTTGCTAATGAGTTTGAAGCCGTTCCATAGATACATGAGTTCCTATAAAAACAAATAAACTCACTTTACGCATGGAGGTAAGGCAATTTTTAATTGAAAAGAGAATAAAACTGGGATGAAATTGCTAACCAGACCAGGAAGGGTCAAGCGATTTCCTTGCTCAAAGTATCGGGTGGCCTTCTTCATGGCGAATTTCTCAATGGGGAGAGATTTGCCAGCTATCCGTTGTATCATTTGAGGAACACTTCTGCAGGGTTACGGAAAAGAACGCAAACTGGTCAGTCTAAACGTCGCAGAGAATCCCAGTGTAGAGTCCTCAAAAGGATTGATAATTATTTTAAATATTTTCTTGGTTTAACGGCACTTCTGCTCTACGACCTTGTTAATTCAAGCGTTGATCCAAGAACCACACTGGCACAATTGTAATCAGTGAACACCATTATCCTGAAACCTGTATTTTTCTAGCGACAATCGAGCACGACCGAATCGCATACCGATTCGCAGGTTTGGTATTAGGCGAAAGGATGGGTTCGTTCATTATTTACATTTCTCGACTTCTTTAAATATGCATTTGCATTTGATGACGACATTTCCTTAGTAAAAAAATGGTGTGCAAAATAGCTTAACTAATTCTGGAATAAATTACAGCAATAAGCACGGATGTTTATATTTCGTAAGAACCTTCATTTTGTTAACTCAAAATAGGTTAGATTTGAAAACTCTAGGACAAGGTACCACTTCAACAGAAGTGTTCATACATCTTATTAATTGGTTGAAAATCGAACATGTGGTCGACGTAATGATCACTGAGCGACCAAGCCAAAAATATATCACTTTGTTTTAGAATTTCAGTCTTAGTTAGGCACCTTAGTAGGTTGACAGGCATGTAACAGCACACACAAGAATCCTGGTTAAAGGGTGCTGATGGGAAAGTCTGCGTTTGGGAGTTGATGACTCCAGATTTCGCCAATAAAATATTTAACATAAGTGTCAGAAGGCGAGGCGCATTAGTTAAGAGCTGCGGATATTTCCTTTAAGTTTGCTTGTATAACGGCGTTATCTAGGAGGTATTTGGGCGTCTTGAACTTGGCACATGGGATTTGGCTACCGAAACGACTTTTTGGATGACAATATGAGAGGCCAACAAAAGTCAACTGACAATGCCAGCAGGTAACCGGCAAGTTACCTAAGCAAATCTTCTGCGTGTTTGGCTAAAGTTCCACCATCAGCATCCTCTCTGGGATCCGTACTGATTGGTGACGAGGGCGGAGTTTTACCCGCTCCCTCAGTCGCGGCTCGGCGCTCTTCTTCGAGAAACTGGATTATGAAGGCGGCCATGAGGTAGCGGTAAGTGGCATGGCTCCACTTGCTTTCGCAAGTCAACCTCTCTGCATACTTCATCGCGTCCATCCACTCGGCCTGTACACTGAAATTCGGAAAGCGCTGCATAGACAAGCTCAATAGCGAACGAAGCAGGGCTGCCAGTGTGAGAAGCTCTTACCAGTGGCACCACATCAACTCCCAGTAACAGATGTGGTGAAAATTGACAAAATCTGACTGGCTTTCGATCGACTTGAAGAAGTATTCACGGGCCTACCAATTGAAAGGATGAGGTGATTGGCAGAACGCACGCGTGAATTCGGTGGAGTTTGTATTTAGAGTTAAGTCTATGGCTGCTGGACATGGCCATGGCCAAATAGCCAATTGCAACAGCGATACACAAAATTTAAATGTGAGAAGAGCATGAGCCAATAACCTTTGGTGCGCGGTAAACACATACCAATTTGAAATTCCCGCAAAGTGTTTCTAAGCGACCATTAAGGAAGAGGAAAAAGGCACTATCTGGCGCTTTTTTCATACACGATGGAAGAATCCTGCGAGCTTCTTCCAAGGCTGAAATCTCATCACCATCTGCGTGAAGGCGAAAAGACAAGTTAATAACCCCGACACCTAAGGAATCGTAACACTCCATTGCAAAGCATTAAGAAAACAAAATTCTGTGTCATGTAATGATGCAAGGAAAGTTAAAGCAAATGAAACCAGTAAACGGGGCCCCAATTGTATTCACCCACATAATCGGTTTACTAAACTGCTCTATTGCAGGCAGCACTTAGCGAAGAGACTAGGATACCTCAACTTGAAGTCAACAGATCACTAGACGTAGCCATTCATAAAATTGAGGTCAAAACACCAAGAAGTTGACGCATGATTTAAATCAACGTGGCTCATAGAAGTGGTACGTTCAGTGAACGGGTGTCTATCTAAGCATAGAATATTTAGGCGACAAAATGTAACGACTAAACACACTATGTGTGGGATCAACGCCCACAATGAAGTTTTGGCTTGGCAGATGGTGTGATGTTGACATAGTTTGGTTCAATACAGTTAATATGGGGATGATGGAAACGGACAATGGACAAATTGGCTACATTGTGATAATCTGTCGTTCCAGCTAATACAAAAAATAGTTTCTGCATTTGGTGCATCCGGAAGCCACTTATCAGCATAATGGATGCTTAATCAGCAAAACGTCAAAAAGGCAAACATCACTACGCAACTAACCTCCTGATAGTTGGCGGATTGTGCAAACCACTTCTGATTAATTCAGCTTTACTCTTGAGTTATTTTAAGGGAGTGTGTCAAACGCGGTACCATTTTCACCATTTGCTTGTAATTTTATTTGTGTTTTTAAATGAATGGTCATAGTCAACGATTCATGATTCCTAAGCTCCAGGCTTAGTCACATAGTCAGGTAATTTAGCTGATGGGGTCAACCGCATTATCGCATATTACACTCCGCCATTTTTGACAGTACGTCAATCAGTTTACGCAGTTTCTTCAAATCTGTTCTCTCCAGTGATGAAAAATTGATTTCTTTTTCTTTCGATTAAATAATGTTAAACCAACTTTGCTATGTAATCAGATCTTGGCCTTAAACAAAAATATGTTTTGGAAAATTTTCATATCTACCAGAAATAACTGCGTAAAAGAATATAGAAATATCAATTATTACGTGCGTCCGCCTTCCTTGCATATTTAGCAGTTTAGTTCGACGTATTATTCCCACAAGCCGGAACTGCCCTCAAAATCACCGGCAGAAAATGATCTGACTATTAGCAAAACCACTCAACCTGACGGGTTGTCCGGTCTGAACTATTGCATATTTTACTCTATCGAGGTATGTAGAGCCGAAATCCAATCAGATAGACTTGAAAATGGTTGAAAAATACCCTTTCGTGAAGACATTAACGTTAAGCAGCAGCTGTATGGTTTCAGCTTTAATCGCGCAGTAGCGATTTTCGATTTCCGAAGACTGATCACAAACAGCGTCACAATTATATTGTTTTGGTGCGTTAAAAAACCCCAATGGAAGACATCAATTTGCCTGCCGAAGTGAGGTGTCACTGTTTCCCTGGCATTTAATGGTCAATGCAAACGTGCCTCTGGACAAATCGGTTGTAAGTGCGCAAACAGCGAACGCTTCAGTGTGGAGGGGGAGTTAAAGTAAGGGAGGTGTCGTTCAAACATGTGAGCCACTCACCTGAGTCGCATGCGGTGTCACCTGCAGGTTATCATGAAAATGGCAGGAACAAAAAGCGTTAAGTTTGCCAGGTGTGAGCGCGTGCGTGCGTGCGTGCGTGAGGGGATGGAGTGATTGGATGCTGACCGATGAAAATGCGCGAGGTCAGTCGCTGTAAAACTTACTATCATCAAGGCATGTGTCACCTAGAGAGTTCGCAGATGATTAATCGTTTGGTAAGCTAGAGCCACTTTGCAAGGGAACTTATGCCCCTTGAAGAACAACAATTATCTCGTCATGGGACGCGAGATGCTCTGACAAATATAGCGTAGTTGAGTTGAAGCAAAATATTTCAGTAAAGTCCCCGAGCCACAGTACATGATATTTTGTTTTTACAAAGATTAATGCAAGCCAACCACAATGTCATTAATTAGCACAACCAAGACTGTTAAACAAAATAAAAATGATTCTAGACACATTGGGCTTCATTAATATGTGAAAATGGACCAGACAATCTTCTTCAGAAAGTGCTCACTTGATTACAGAACATGATAGGCATGACAAAACAAAAGTAGGAAAAGTCGTTGGCATTGCTAACAAAAGAAATAATCATGCTGAAAGCAAGATTTGAACCATCATTACTGCGTGAGGACTACTGTCACTTCACTGTCATGGTTTTTGTCATTTCCCATGCATCCACAAATTAGAGATGGCTGCCTACTCAATGTGTCGCATGGAAAATCCATTCGGCACGATGTAACGCGAGCGGAAGCCGTGATTATGTAATGTTCATACTACCTACTAAAATACGTCCTAGACCTGCACAGTCTTCTTCCAATTTAATCTAAATTTAGCGTCTGTGCTGGAATATTTTTGAAGGACACCATAGCAACAGAATGATTTCGGTCCTATAACTATGATCTGATGGCCTTAAACGACAACCAAAAACTGATTAATGATGGACAACCACTACCAGACTTTTTCGGTACGAGGGTAGAGCCATTCATACAATTATTGTAGAGGCAACAATGGAATATCATGCGTATGAAACGTTTTCAATAAACTGTAGGTCGACCAATACCGGCATTCATAAGCATATTCCAGTGTCAGTGCAAATCAACGAAGAATATGGACAAATGTGTGATACAATTGTGAGTAGGTTAGTCGTGGCGAGATAATATCACGTAGTGCTCTGACGTCAAACACTTAGTGATGCTTATAACACTTGACGATGCAGCACAGAAGACTGGCGTGAAAAAACACACGTGTAAACTAGTTTCTCTGACTTCAACGCCTTATTAAATGTACTAGTTCCAGAATTATGCTAAAAATAGAGAATTGAGGCGTATTCCTCAAAAGGCATCAGAAAGGAAAGTATGGTATTTTGACAAACAGTAATTTTTGGGCAACACACGTCAGAAATACAGAAGCTCTCACCAGTCATTTGGGTAGCATAGAGATCATACACAAGGATGATAAGTGCGCAGAGGGGATCGCGAACGCCATGTTCGATTTTTCTGCCTTCGTGGAGGAGTTGAAGACCAAGATCCTGGGAAACGGTAAAAAATGTTAGAAAAAAATAACCAAGGGACGGCTGGATCCACATTAAATGAAAAAGCATTTTTACATTTGGGTCACGAATGATGATCTATTTCCTCAACTCGAGTTGTACCAACTTACTTGTATAAATCAGTCAGATATTTCAAATGAACTAGCGTTAATCCCAGCCCGATCTATTTAACACTCTTCAAAAAATTTTCAAAGAAATTAAAACCCCAGCATTAATTCGAGAATGGCACAAAATACAAAAATTAGGCTGTCATGGAGTTCTAAAATCGCTTCGATATCCAGTCGGCTTAAGCAAGCCAGAATGGAATGATGTACACTACAATTTGCTCTCAAACTGACGTACTCAACTATGAGTGTTCTAGCGATGATTGTGGTGACAAAGACGCACCTCCTTCACCTTGGTGGTGCGTCAAAATGAAAAGAACTCTTTTTACCAAGAAATGGACTTGTTTTGCAATAATCCACAATTACTTGTGCCTTAAAGCTTCAAGAGTTAAAATGATAACAACGTAAAATGCAGGCCAAACCTCACCTTTTTCCCGGAAAATCCAACTATTTCTAGTAAGGACAGGACTTTCGAAGGGAGCAAGGAAAGTAGCTGAAATGAGGGAAAAAAATAACTTAAGTACTCAACTCGAGAAGTTGTGTAATTTGCACCTTCGTAATTTCTAAACCAACTCACCGAAGCGTGCTGGGTACCCATACAATTTCAATCGCATTATGCGGGCAATTGCATCCAAACTCAGGCTCTTTAGGCTAACTAACAAAGTGTGCTAAAACATCCCGGAAGTAAATCACATCAACATCTCTAGGCACATAATATCTCACAGATTCGTGGTACCACAGTCAACGTTTAAGTACCTAAAGACAGAAATAGTGGAGTCTATGTGTTTTACATTACAATCTAGGTCTACGTGGGCGTTAAAGTGTTGCATAGTTGAGTCTAGTTATATGTAATTGTTGTTTGTTCGTATTGCGATCTACAGCGTGATTTTCAGTGGTTAGAAAAAAAGCATTTGAAACGAGAAGATAGTTCGGATTTTGCGGGAGACGGAACAGTATATTCTCGGGATAAGTGGCCAAAAATACAATGCCACTACTTCGTGAGTAATGCGAAGTTATGGGGACAAGGGCAGGATTCATTACTAGAATGTGAAGAAGAGTCTCCTGACAAAGCCGAAATATCCTTAAATTCAATTGAAAGTTGTTAGTCTTATCAGTGCTATAAGCGTGCGCATTTTCATGTGCTGGAAAATTCGCCCAAAATTACAAACCGAAAGGAAATGCCACCCGATTGTCCTGAAAAAGTTGTGGGACACTTGGTCCTTTGAAGTCTAGAGGACGTGACCTAATGAATGTGGGGTGATGCGACGGTCTCGTCCGGTGGTTCTGATGTCGATAAACAAAATTTAACGGAACCTCCCACAAAAAAACGCAAAAATAAGAATCTACTTTGACACGTAGTTAACTGATTTGAACTTGAACAGGTACACATAAAACACATCCCCTTTGAACTGATGGAACACAGTCGTGGATGGCCAGATATGCAACAGGTTATTAGGATCACGAGTTTATGAGAATTAATTGCGAGGTATTAAGGATCTGGTAGCTTGAAAAACTGTACGCTTCAGGCAGACGTTTCTATAGGAGGGCACATGAAGAAAGGATGCTAATTTAACTTGGCACAAATTTTGTGTCCACTCAAAGGATTACCGGCTTCTTTCAATTGAAGTTATTTTAAGGGCAGAAGCCAACAGTAGCAATTGTCAGAAGACCAATTTGATGGCAACTGAGCACACCACAGCTCTGGTAGATGTCCCATTTCTCATGTTTGAAAGTTTGCTAAACTGGACTTTTGGTTTTTAAACCTGTGGGCATGGTTAACTAATAAGGTGAAAAACATACCAGATTGAAGGCTCCGACACCCATGAAAACACCGCATTCAAAAGCTGCACGTGATGGGCCATCAGCCCACTTCTTATTTTTGTAGATTTTCCAGCAAGTTCTATAAAGAGATAAAATTTAGACATATATTGTAAGCTGTCTTACAGCTAGGCTTCAATTTGCTTAAGATGTGATTGAAAGAGAAGCAATGGTTTGCAAGATGAAAGCGACTTTTCAATGAATTCACTTCTTAAAGCTGAGACCCAGAGTTGGGCTGCTAAACTCTCTTTTCTGGATTTCTACTGAAACCTGTGTAGCTCATAACGACATCTTTCAACACGGTGTCCTGTACAGGTTAATTGAATACTTTAAGACAATTGAAGATATTCCAAAGCATGGATGCACCCGCATCCCACAAAATTACACCCGAAGATTTCAAAGAGGACAGTAAATGAAATAATTAGCAGAAAAAGACCATTCCAGGCTCTAAAATAACTTCGATTTTAATCCATGGATTTTAGGCGTAACAAAGTTATCTGAAAGTGCTCCCCAGAATGTGCCACGGCGCTTTTGTTATGCGGCCATGTTTAACAAATAGTCTTTCTTTACTTCCATTACCAATGAGGATCGCCACCCGCGTCTAAATAAACCAATGGCTTTGTACAACCTGCCTGCCACGTGTAATTCCTGCTAAGAGGTAGCCTTAAATTTAAACTTTTGCACGAATTAACAGTGAAAACCAGAAGAATGACAATCTCTTGTATTAATTGTATTAGAAAGTGTATGGTTGAAATTCAAAGAGGTTACCTATAACATTTGTAGCATTCGCGCAATTTAAGGGAGCTTTTAATGAGAGTAACAAGTTTCTCGTCCTGAAGCACAGCGAGGAAAACCCACTGGAGGAGACTTTCGGCATAGCACAATTCCGCATGCGCTTCGTCTAAGCGAAAATAATAAGCACTTCAGAACACACTGAGCAGCTGTGTTGCATAACATTTGGCTTAATCAGTTGTTGATGTTGTTGGGAACGTGAGCGAGACAAAGAGGCACACGATGGTTCAAAATATATTTCATCACACAATTATCTTCGACCAATCACTGGTTACGTGGTTATGAGGAAAGCCTGCACTACGACTCACGCCACACACACACACGCATGCACATGGGAACGAGCGTAAATAGTCCGCACACTTCTGTATAACCCAACTATAACTGAATATGTAGCACACAATGGAAATGATCTGAACAAAATGGTCTCTGGTAAAGGCAAATGCTCCGATCACCCGCAACTGTTACTAACTGGAATACGTGCATTTTACGATAAGTGCTAACTCATCTATTCAAAGCTGTCAAAGAAACATTACTCAGCTGTCCAAAAAGAACTCGTTCAAACACGAAAGACGATGTGACTTGCTTGGCTAGTGGGGTCTGTTGTTATTGTTTAAATGGAACTCGGATACCTTGCCGATTTTTAAACTGAAAACCTCACCAAATAGTTAAACAAAAGCTATTTGTGAGTTTCGCGTGGCTCCTATTACTCACGGTTTCATTGATTAATAAGCATTACCGTTGAATAGCACTGTATATAAACGGGTCCAACTTAAATAGCTTCAACTGTTACAATAACTCAAGGAACAAAGCTCTGTCGATTTAGCAGTTTGTCTGGAAAAGGCGGGAATAAAATTTGCTCGTGTCGTTCCAGTAGCATTTGGCCACGTTCTTTCTGAAAGGCATGAATAATTGGAACACAGTTTTGTTAATGCCTTCTATTTAAGAATAGATTAGGTTGATAAATCCGTGTTGACCTATCCCTGATTTAAACCTTCCTCCTCAGTGTTTTAAAGCAAGTGTTCAATCGAGAAATGGATAGTGTCCCTTAATCATAAGCCATAAGCACATGAAGTCCCTCATTTCAGGTCAACCGCTATGTTTCTTTACCTATCCTCAATTTATATCCCTGTTTATGTTCCCGATGTGTGCTTACACGGTTTGCTTGAAATGCCCACATAAAAGCAATGTGTCAAAATTAACAAGACGGTACTGGAAACGAAGCATCCGAAATTTCAACGGCTTTGTTACATTTTAGAAGCTGTAACGAATCGTTGTGTGAGTTCACTTGTGACTTGCCGTTAGTTTTGACAAACTACAATGGTGAAGTTACAGCACAATTAATTGTGGCTTGTCACGTCCGTTGGATCTTTGCGGCTTTTGTTTTGCTGCCTATCTTATTTCCTTTTAACACAATAAATATATTGGAGCAATTAAGCCTTTAAATGCCAGCGATTAAGAACCTTGACTTTACGTCATTTTAGAGTGGTCGCTTGTACGTAAGGCTGCATCGAAAAACAGAAATGCTTTTCTTTCAGAGCGAATTATTATGGTAAGTTAGCCCACGATGATATTGCACGCATGCAAGCCTGCAAGTGCATTTAGGTTCAACTTGAATCAAATTGTTAAAAAAAACGTAATCATGACGTTTTCGAAGCCACTGGTGATGCAAAACCGAAAGACGACTTTCTATAACAAGAGAAACAAGGAAATACAGCGCATTTGTCACCTTAGATTTCTATAAGCTTCTACCAATGACCTTGGATTTTTTTGTTTCTTGGGGCATTAAAGCAGCTACTGATTTAATGAGTGTCACAGGAATCATGTGCTTGTATCATCGGGTATTAACTGAAGACCACGTGGAAATTAATTGCCTTTTTTCTGCGAATCTCAGCGCAAAGTGATGGATTGCTCGCCTAGTTCGTTATCATTCGAACAAAACTATGGATAGCTAAAGTGCGTTTCTACTTACCCTCTGTGTAGGAAGCATAAAAGGCGGTTTTCGCTTTGGCTGTAGACTTTGAAAAGTTGTCAGTGAATTTTCCCTTTCGGCGCTTTGTTAAACAAACCTTGACGGCGTGTTTGATTTGTCTAGTGGCTGCCTCGAGGTCGGACTAATAAGACAAGAGAAATGAAGTCTGAACTCCCTGGGGCAGGAAACAGCTTCATTCTTACATTTGAGACAACTCTGCGAATCAACATGTTTGTTCTGCACCATGGTGGAGAATGTTTGATAAAACTGCAATGGTTCACGAAGTCGAAAGCCTTCATAGATAAATCTGGTAACATCTATCGATTTAACATTTTGTGTGTGCTCCTATTGCTCTTAAAAGTTACGACAGATAAACAAAAGAAGTTTCCAATGAAGATTAATGCTCAAGTACAAGTTTTGAATTTCTAAAGGCTCAAAACTGCATTTGAATTAGACCAGATGAGAAAATCTACACCGGATGTGTGCAGGCGTGGAGATGCCTCGAGAAGCGAGAATTAAGGTCCAAAGTTATAGAAGTTTTGAAATTAATTGAACAATTTAGGGAACACTTGTAAGGTAGCACAATTTAAGTGCCCTCCATTCACCCACGCCCACACAAGAGGTAGACAAGTTTTTCTCCTGTTGAGTGTTGCATGTGGTGTAACTCAGCTTATCCATTTCGAACTAGCCGTAATCTTTTGCATCATCTTAGCTACAAATGACGTTAAAATTACCCTGAAAGGATGGTGAAAATGAGGAAGAATGTTATTCGACACGTACCCGAGGCATGCTGCCAGTTGCCTAGCAGGTAAGGACCTAAGATCCTCAGGGTGGAACCGCATGCCACATATTCGCAACGTGGTTAAGGAATGACAGAAATACTTGGCTTGGTTTGCAATCACCTCAATTTTCGGTTTCAAGATTTTACAGACAAATTGATCCAGAAAAAAATATTTAGAGAACACTCAACCAATTTTATTGGTCAGAAATTGTTAGTGCCTAAATTTGCGCAAAACAAGTCAGTCAAATTCTGAGGAAGTCGCTCACAGTGTATACCAATTGCGTTGGCTAAAAGCTGATCTCAACTTCTGGCCCAATTTACACAAACCAAGACCTTATTGATACCTAGAACGACCTTAGTGACAACCAATATGATGCAAATGCAACAAAATAAACAAATAACGATTAAGAAATGAAGAGCTTTTCAAAAAAGGTACGCAAGGGGCAAATTAAACCAAGTTTAAGTTAGTTTTGACGAAAAAGCAAGCCTGCACCAAATACGCACAGTGGCGGTCAGTCTGGCGAAATTCAATGAGCACTGTGCGTGTGTGTAGCACCACACGATAGCTGTACTGTGACAAAATTCCCATGAGTCACACGGTGAGCATGACAATGACTAGCCTGCATTGCCCTCCCTGGCTGACAGCACAGGTGTTCCAAAAAGTGAATGGACTTGATTGGTCAGTGAAGCACATCGTAACGTCGTTACAAGAAATCACATCCACACACCAGCTACAAAAAGTTTCACATAAGTGCTTACTGATCTTCCAGTCGAAGTGGTCCCCAAGCCTTCGAAATGGCAGATTAATGTAGGTCTGTTTTCTGTTGTACACATTAGCAGGTTAAGGGAGATAGGTGCATTCAATGCATAACGTATTGTTGGCAAAAGCTTCCGAGCAAATATGTGTGATTATAATGGTGGTGGATATTGACAGGCCGTTGTCTGTATGCAATCCCTTTGGTATAAAGTACGCGAGGTAGTTTTTTTTTCTTCCCATATAATATCGACCAACTAGAATCGGTTCTATGGGAGTGGGACACCAAGTGTCAAGGTCATGCCAAAACTGCGTGAGAAATAGGGCCTCCGTCCTCATGCAAGCTAATTTATTATCGGTACAAAGCCTGACGAAATGTCAAAACCACAGTTTCCACGTAATTCAGAGTGTAAGGCAGACATTAGGTTTTTTGCCCATAACATCGTTGAAAAAATCTAGCTTTCACCGTGCTGTTTCAAGGTTTAAAATAATTCGCACACACAGCATTCATGCTGCTTCAAAATGCAACTAAGCCAAGACAAGTCACTTTAGTAAAATTGCATTTGCATGTAATTTAAGGTTTTAGCCTCTAATGTGGAAAATAAACTATGAAAACCGGGAGTCAGTAATCTGGAGAATTTAGTAAAATTAGTTTCAACTTTTGCAAAATTAACTTATCACGAGAACAATTTGTAAAAAATACAGGCCGTTAGATGTCTAACCCCAAGACGGTCCTGGCAGTCTGACAGCAGCCGTGCTTCTCAACACATACAGAAATTATTACTGCAGAGAGCGTGGCCTTTTTGAATGGAACGAAAGTTCGATAGGTTGCAGTCACGTTTGAAGTCCACATTTTCCACATTTACCTTGCATCATCAACTCTCCAAGAGCAGCCAACTGAAACATGGTGATGACGATTTGGTGTCGGGTTTACCTTAGAGGTTTAATACGTCATTATTTCATTATTTTGTCGCGACAACATGTCCTAATTGACTGCCAAGCTTTACCTATTCCATATATTTGACCTGTTATAAATATATGCAGGTAAATCAAGTGTCAAACTTCATTTGAAGGCCCTTTCCTGGCGGAACACCGTATATTTTCGTTAATTTACCCCAACAACCCGTATTCTGAAGATTTTAATGGGCCTAACACCCCCCGTTGTGTGAATCACATGTCCTAAGGGTATATTCTTGAAAAAAACTAAAAGCAGACACATGATAAGGGATCGATTATGTGGTAATAATTTGGTGCTTAGGTATAAAGTAGCCAATATAGCTGAGAAAGTCCACCGTGATTTTGAAACCAATCGAAAATTCTGCTAAAAATATACACTAGTTGCCACACCAGTGCAATTTTAACTTGGTGTTGCTACGCAACTTAAACAGTAAACATCTATTTATTTAATTTCTATATTTTTTGTATTGACAATGCGAGATTAACGAAGTTAATGCGCAATTACTCATGGCAGCTAAACAATAACCAAATTAGGTGTTGTAGAAGCATCATTCTTCTTAACTAAACTGCCTCAAAAAATACATTAAAGACTGAAGATCCTCATACGTTGCCAGATTATCCTGTTTCTCCCAAATGTAAATTTAGAATAGAATACGATGTTCGGTGGAGGGAAAATGCTACCATGAGGACATTCTGGTAGCAACCACGAGATCTCCAGGCAGGAACGTCTGTAAATGAACAGTATTGACTACTGCTCATGACAAAATCTGCTGCAGAAAAGTGAAAAGTTTCGTGATAAAATAGTTTGAATTTTAATGAAGGTGGACTATCGTTGGCCAATAGGATTAAACTAAATTTAGGCTTGTTCAATTTACAGGGTATCATGTGCACAAAATGGTTTTGAAAATACAGACTTCGTCATAACTGAGTAGTGGATACTCGATCGCCTGTCAAGTAAAGCGCAGTAAAGATGTGTTGACTAGCGTTTTAATTATTTCTGACTATGTGAAAAATAGATGGAATCGGATGTGAGTCATCTTGACGTCAAACTAGGTTACTGAGGTTAATTGTTTTACATAACATTTAATGACTGCGTAGGCACAACAATTTTGCATCTGTTGGATGTTCTTCGAACAATATGAACAAACATCTGTCGTTGCGTATACATCTGACCTGGTTTACCAGCTAAAGCAGAGACGTAGAAACAACCGAGGGAAAACGGTTCAAAAAATAGAGGTTTTGGTTGAGGACGTTCGACTTTTTCCGCCTTTTGATGTGACGTTTAAGCATTTCGGTAGAGTAAAAATATAAATTTAGCCCAATGTCAATAGCCACTGCATAGTGTTTGAAAGATTCCGACTTTTAAATTTAGCATTTCCAAGAAATGTGTCGTGGTTCCATAACTCTTACACAAGTTTTGTGCACGTGGTTGAGAATATACTCTCTCTGACTGTAGCTGGCTCCCAGGAAATCGTGTTCAACCTACGTACGTATTTTGCCTATCTAAGTGAATCCACGATTAAGATGCTGACTTGATTTTAGGGTCAACGCGAAAACCAGCAGTTTGAAAACGTAAAGCATTGTAGAGGGCGTGGTAAAGTGTTTTCGACTCCTTATACTCATTTGCCCCAAAACACCGCCGACTTTACTACCAGCTCGCAGAATCAATGCTCGGAATGAGTTCATCCTAGCAAACGAAAATAGCGCACAAGCCTGCAATTTCGTGCAGGTCGCACACTGGTGACAACTGGAGTTGGTCTTCTAGCGCACCCGCAATACTAAGCAATGCACACCCCAGCATACTCACAGGCACGTGGCATACACGTGCAAAATCAATTGTCGCACAGACTGTTCAAGTTCCAAAGCCATGGGTGAATTTTGTGGATGCGGTGCATGTTATAGAATTAGATGCTATGATTTCTATAATGGGTGGAAAATCTTAGGTTTCTGCTTATTTTTGGCTGTTCATAAATTCCTAGCATAACGGAACTGCAAAACTAAAAGTTGGGTCAAAATGGCAACTAAGTTATTCTAGAAAGCAAGCAGGTATTTCGATCCCACGACTTACTGGTTCCAAGGTTGCTGTTGCCTGAAGATGTAACATTGTCCCATAGGATACGGCATGGTACATGCTCCGATCAGCCCTAGAAGTATATGGGTGAGATCTACCTAATTTGAACCAACAAAGATTGGGCTGTGGTTTTGGCGTCGTTAAACTTGTTGTGGAGAAACAAAGTAAGCACGAGTTCTGACGCCCGTATGCCCTCCAGCAAAGGAACATCGTCTTTCCTTTAAAAAATGTTACTTCCCGAGACATGAAACTTACACATTGTCAGAGGAACTTGGGTTCCCATTTGCCTGAAGTGAAAACAGAAAAAATCAAGTCGAAGTACCGAAACTAAACTTATTCAGCGATTTTACGATCAGGTTTTATTAAATGCATCTTATTGCTTACAACAATCATGTTGCTTTGTTTGTTATAGTGAAGTATTATAAATCCCACTGCATTCGACTTTTAGTGTCACCATCAATGCAATTAATGTATGGTATTTTCAGTAGTCAGTACACTTGTAAGGCTGATTTTTCTTCGTTCCTAAGAGTTACCAGAATGCATTACACCTGGTATTTGTATTTAAATTTACTTGGTTCTCCGGAATTCGTCAACTGCTTTACGGGTTTTAAAGGCGGCAACTGAAAACAGTGGCTTACAAAATGTCAGCTTCTAACTCAAAGACTTCAAACCATACACCATAGTGCTATCTAGTGTTACTTGGATTTACCGCACGCTCTTATTTTCCATTTAAACCGTTCAGGTGTAGCAGGTGGATTAAACAGCAAGTTTCAGAATCATACTTTGCAATTAATGTCGGGTTGTTTTTGTCTGTGCGGCAAAATTATTGGCCTATGCTCCACCAATCCATACATGAGGACGCACTACCACAGGGTGGACTATGCAAGCAAAAATGCTTGCACACTCACCCTGTCAGTCTAGCTGTCGTCAAGGTCACTTCAGAACAAACCAGCTTGGTACAAATTAAGTGCTATCCGTCTACGACAGTCGTCTTTTTAGACGAAGCTTACACTTGGGTTTGCAGTTAAAACGCATAAACTATTCCTTGGGGATCATTTTAACGTCTGTTGCCACAGCTGGTGTCCCTTATTAGTATAAAATACATCCAAAAATACTGACTTGGGGATCATTTTCTTTTCATATTTATTTGGTACATCGGTAAGTCAGTTTCATATCACCTTGCATTATAAATACCCGATAACTCAGGCGTTCGGACTAGGTTTTTTGTGCCATTAATAAATACTTACTGTGACGTCTGTTTCCACAGATAAAAACGAGTAATTGTACTAGCATCACTCTAATCTTTGAGTTCACTGGTTGCGTTCAACAACAGAAAAACTTATCCTTGCTTTTAAAAACTCAAGGAGGACATTATGAAATATCCTTCAGAACGTAAAACTTAAAAAACGAGAGTCACATTGTATTTATTTGTCATACAACCGTCTACTGGTGTTATGGACAAATTTGCTGGATTGGGTATTTTCTTTTCAATATTGCAAGGAATGGTCAATGTGAAAGGCAGTCTTAAGTAAAGGTACTTTGCTGTAACTCACGATTATCAGTGTTTTAATGTCCCATTATTTGTTTTACCAACTAAGGCATATGCACTTACGCATGCCTGAAATTTGCGCACTATACACAGTTGGTTATTTCATTTGGCACTTGCTGACTTACGCACACCTCTTACTCTATGAAGTGTAGAAATTAACAGAAATTATTCAGAAAATGGTGACCCAGACACCTATGAATGCTAATAATATGGGTTAAAGATCATCCTATAAAGTCAACTAAATTTTAAACTAGAGTTGTTACAGCAATATAGAAGTGGGTCGTTTATTCCGCAAAGATTGATAAAGGTTTCATGGTTTTAATATCATTTAATCACTTTAGTCTACAAAATTAAAGTAAAGGTTACGATCCTCTGTGCGTCCTAATGGTGATATTTAGCAATGTATTTGTCTGATACGGTCAAAGTTTGGAACAGAAGAATGGTAGTCTAAATGCAGGGATAAATGACTTCACCTGCAAATAAAAGTTCTGGTGAATGAGATTTTATTAATTATGGGAGTGAGTGTATTCATCTGAACATAACAACCCACATTTATTTCCCAACAACTACTATCATATTTAATGGGTGAGAATAGATATCGCTTACATATATTTAAAGGAAGTTTTTTGAGCACGTTCTGTTGGCTTAAAGAAGCAAATTGTGCGTACACTCTAACCTGGAAATAAAGGTCTGGTAGAACTGTAAAAATTACTAACTTTAGCACATCAGACAACTATTATTAGAAAAAAACAGAGATCATTCACTAGATCTATTTAAAAAAATTAGAATCCAATGAACAATTTTAATGTAATCAATGAAAAATACATTGAACAGAGTCATTATACATGCTTTTGTCACATACAGATAACCAAAAAACATAGCTAATTTTTTTTTCAACAAAAGAGAAGGCATACAAATTTAAAACACGTCATACCTCTGTACCCAACATATTGTTTCGTGTACTATCAACCACTGACTACACTCAAAAGATCGTGGTGTGTGTGGCCTAATATATTGATAAAACTAAACAAAGCGTTTGTCAAGAGAATCGAGTAAATGTAAGGACATTACATGTTTCTCAAGCTAAACCAGTAAAAACTTAAATGCAATAACAAAATTAAGTATTTCTCTGAATAAAGCAATAGTTCTAATGACATCACAGACTATGAAAAAAAGAAACATACACTTTAAACACATTATATTAAATTTAACATAATGGAAAACAAAATTAGATACTAGTCCTCAAAAAATTTTTGCTTGTTTACAAACTCAATATTAATAGTCGACGTTCAACTTTGCCTTTATATCATAAAACCCAAATCGGGAGGCCAAATCAAATAGGAAAACTTAGAGCTCCATGTTTCCTGTTTTGTATACCTATCGTACATAACCTTCCCTTCCATTGTAAACTTTTTTTTGTAAAAATTCTTTTGGTAATGGAAATGGCACAAATTTTTTGCGATTGATCTATTCCGATGTTGTTCACCAACGTCTTGTATCTTTTTGGAAGCATTTGGCCATTGGAGGTGGACGACATAAACATAATAGAAATTCGTTTCCTTTATGGGTATAAGCTGTTTCCTCAGAATGGCATACAATGCTCGGCTATTCTTCTTAACATGCAAGTTTTGCCTAAAATTTTAGATAAACCATCTCTTGAATTCTAATTGAGTTGCCACAATAACCATTTCCACCATACTGCGTTTGTACTGGTCCTTTTCCTAAAAAAATGATACATTGCATGATACAACAACCAAGCCAAACAATGTTGCAATAACTACTCTAAAATTATACACCCCATACCTAGAAAATTGCAGAACTGGCCCACCCACGATTTTGTTCATGTTCCGACACATGCGGATGGAACCACGTTCTCTATGACGTCCCAAATGAACAGGCCTCATATTTTAAATAAGTTCCAACGTCGACTAGCAAATGAGGTTAATAATCTTGAGATTCGCAAATAAGGCTACATGACGGTTTCTTGCTAACCGTAAATCATCGCTCACAAGCATTCCATTCCTCTTCCATAAAAACAACAGTAACACGGCAGAATCTACATTCTAATCGTTACAAATATACATTGCAATTCATGAAAGAATATTGGAGTATGCGTGGAGCAAGTCTACTCATACGCGAAAATAGGCCTAAATCAATCTTGATTAGGGGGGGATACGGAGGAAAAATATTGGCTAAAGAGGTCCTCAGTGCAAGCCACCAGCGAGGAGAGGCTTGAAGTTCGTTGTCGGCCAAGACTGGTTGAAGATGAGGCGGAGTCGAAAATCCCGAAGTCGTCTGAAGATGATTTCTAAAAAAACAAAGAGCATTTTGCGATCAGACAGACCGCTGGTCAATAAAACAGTTAAAATTAGATATGTAGTTCACCGTCATCACAAAAACGATTGATTTGAACCTACGCTAACCACTCGAGTAAATGGATAACAATAATGCCTGTTGGAGAACAAAAAAGAGAGAACTTGGAGAGGCAGAGTTTCCTTTACCGTCACGCCGTCGGATACATTTGAGGGCTGGCGCGATACACCGTTGACACTCCCAAGTCGCGAGGCTAGTTGTTCGAGTCCCGCGAACGAATGCCTTTCGGTGGCACCTACAAGCAGTGATGCCGTCTTTGACTTGGCGCGTCGCCTGCCCATCAGATGCCCTTTACCACGCCTCAAAAGAGTTCCAACAGACAGGGAAGCAGAGCTGAGCTGTCGTGAAGGATTGGGAAGGTGAGGGATTTTGAAAACACTGGATTTTCGCTCGCTGTCTGTCCCACATCCACCTCTACCGCCAAAGACGGAACTCCTTTTGAGGGTGAGGCTCTTTTGGCAGGCGGACTTGCGGGTGGTGGAACTGCCACCTGAAGGAGGTGAGGGCGGTACTACGGTGCCGTGGCGCAGTCGGCGGACGAGGGTACTCACGTATTCCTGGTCGCGTGACAGCGTGGAAAGGAGGAGGCGGGCGTGACAGTCGTCGGGATGGACTTTGGCGGGACCCGACTTTGAGGAAATCTTACTTAAGGTGTCCTCGGCTGCAGAGAGAAGAGGCTTTTTATTGGAAAAAGATGATTTTCGATGATTGGCAGGAGGATGTTCCTGGATTTCGACTGCAAAAGAAAATGAGCAATAAAACACGTGAAATAAAGTCAGAGGCAGGGTTTTATTTATAACAACTACCGGTCATAATAAACAAAGAAGTCCGTTAAAACCTCGTTGATGGGTGTGTGTCGAAATACATGACAGATCAAGTCCGGTGACGAAGGACCACTCAAGATGGGTATTTTTATTATCGAAAACGTATGCAGTGTTACCAAAGGTGAGAGACAACTTTAGAAATTACGCGAAGACAAAATAAAGGGCTGCAGGATTGATGTAGAAATGAACGGACTTACACTGCTTACGCATTTCAGCTAACCGCCCAGAAGTTAACAAGTCTATAGGGAAGAAAGCAATAAAAATCAGATAAGATTGTGGTGCTTCTGAAACAATTGGACAATTTAACATACAAATCTTGTAAAAAGACGTCATTAAAGAAAGCAGAGCTCAAACAACGAGTAATTGGTAGCACGAAATTTGAACACTAGGCTAGATTAATTTCCCGAGCTATTTTGTGGGCTCAGGCAATAACACTTTAGACGCTTGAATCACTTGCGGGAGGTAAATGAGACTTCGAAAAGAGTAGAAGTGGGGGACAATTTTTACCCTCTAAATCCTCTTTCATATCCTCTGATAACAGTGTACGGGGGAATCGACCCGCGTAGTCCATTATGTCTGTTCTTGCATCTAAAACAAGGACACAGGAAATGCAAAGCAGCCTGAGGTAACGCGCATATGATTATGAGCACATTATACGGAGGCCCACCGTGCGGTGCATGTTAATACTGACGCGCTTTTCCCACAAACCCAAAATTTAGCTACAGAGTGTTGCTTCAGTCCTCTTTGAGATCTCTAAAAGTGTAAGATGAATCACCACACGGAAAAGTCACACAACGGGCTTAAGTTCACCACACAACTAACGGGCAAAAGGTCGCACAACGACTATTATTCGCATAAGTTCTAATCATATGAAAACCCTTGGACTTCAACCAAGATTCCAATTTTAAAGACAAAAAAGTGGAACACCAATGAAGTGACGAATATTTACGGCCAGACGAAGAGTGGCAAGTTCTGGTTACTAGGTTTATTGTTTCAGTAAATTGGGCAAAGCCAAACTGACAAAAAAGTGAAACACCAATGAAGTGACGAATATTTACGGCCAGACGAAGAGTGGCAAGTTCTGGTTACTAGGTTTATTGTTTCAATAAATTGGGCAAAGCCAAATTGGATCAAAGGTGTAAAATGAGCTTAGGTTCAGGGTAGATATTCCCTGCTCTAGATGTTGGAGGCGTTTAGAAGTTTCTTAACACCAAGATTAACCTCTAGCGACCTAGAAATATGGGTGCTAGACAAGGCAACTTCTCGATCCAACTCCTTGCTTCCGCATTGGTTTTGGAGTTACAGAGTAGTGCAATAGCAGGCAAGGGTGTGAAAACACGACAGTACAATATACATCAGTTTTGGCTCTAGTGAGATTCGGAACCGCATAGTGGATAACCAGAGCGGAACCAGAGCCAAACAGCGGTTTCAGCTTTTGAAGTGGGTTGCTGAATAGGATCCCTTCTCATTGAGAGGGGCATACCGTTAATAAAACGTATCACGCAAGTGTACTCTCTGGGTGAGAATCGCTGGATTTCGTTCTCGACTGAAAGGTGGTGGAGAACTTGGGTTCTTCCAAATAAAGCGTACCTATAGTCCATAGTGCCTAAATGATTTGCTTAGAATCGCTTTCATTTCCAGCCAATGTGAGGCCCTTGTCAAACCCCATGCATCTTCCGGAATTCAATCCCTCTCAAATATCAAACCTATCGTATTTAAATTAGTTGAGACCAAATGGTAAACTGAATTTTACTGCTGCTAGATTATCCCATTGCACGTGCCTTGATCTATCTAAAAGCCTCATCTAACAAACGAAACTGGAAAATCCTCTGGCAGACAATGTTCTGTGTACTTTGTAAGTAGAACGAGTGAAATAAGCTGTGTATAGGACAGCCTCTGCCCAGTATCTGGTCATTCGAAGATCCACGATTAGGGACCTGTAGCTGCGATAGCTGGAGTTGAATTTATTTGAGTTTGTGGAATGCGAGTAATCAGTGCAAGCGCCCAAACCACTGCAGTGAAATGATGAGTATGCTCTGTTAGGAAACAAAGGCTTGCAGGTTCCTTGTCAAGTAAGCTACCACACAATCCAAAAAAGACTAGTGCGGGGAAGAGGCACTTTTCTGGATGACAATTTTATACAGAACTCACGGTAGATTTGCACAAGAGAACGGACGAAAAGCCTTTGGGAGTGCGCTACGGCGATATGGAGAGGGGTGCAACCCTACAAAAAAATGCTCCGTAAGACCCGATAAAAGGCGCTTACAACGCCAACAACTTTGCAAACGAGATCAGAGAAGCCAGTACGCAAAACAGAAGTGCTGCTTTTGTAATAAAGTCACCACAAAACACAAATTTGAGGAAAAAGTAATCAAGCCGCATGCAAACAAGGCGTATGGCAAGTTTCTCTATTTCTAAGCACTCAAACTGGAAAACATGATATGAACCTTTTTTAGGAATACAGTCCACCACAAAGGAAGGTGGAAATTTTATTCTTCGACACGAAGCATGTGCATGTGCGATTTAATGCAGACTAATGTTACAACCGACGAGTCAGCAATGAGTCCGAGCATCTGTACTTTTGAGTCTCACATATTCTAAATGCCTCAGTTGTGCATTTACAGTGGAAGCTCACGCCGTGAGCACTTGTCTCGACTGTTGGTGCCCAGCAATACGACTTCTACAGGGTTGGGAGCTTTCGCCAAGGCACCTTCTCATTGCCTCTATTCCCGACACTAATGAAATTATAGTTTTGTCGTAGTGTCGCTCTCCAGTTAGAGGCTTGTAGGCCGACTCGCTGTGGGTTGGCAGTACCGTAGACAAAACATCAAAGACTGTAGTCTTGGGCCTCAGACAAAAAACATTGATTAATTCGCAAACGGACTCCCGTGAACCAATCAGATACCGTGCCGTTGCCCTTTCAAAGAAATATCCTTTTTCACAATTAACCTTGACGATTTTAGGCGAATCCGGTTTTTCCTAGACTTGGAAACTCCGCCAGTAAAAACACGGTGATGGATTGTGTTTTCTAACTTTGGTTAGTGTAAACATTTGCTAAAGACTTTCGAAGCAATATGGCCAATTCGTAAAAAAACGATTCACTGGTTTTGCGAATCACGTTGAGCGTCTCCGCACAGGTCTCAAAATAGAATTAAACATGAAATTTGGTTAAACAAGATGCATAATGAGCAGGTCTTGCTACATTCCCCCCCCCTCCGCGGATTAATGTAAAAAAGAACCAACTGACGTTCCCCTAATGCTTCGACTTATTCCATAAACACATTTCTCGGGCCAGCCGGCAACTCAGAGACCCGTGTACGTCTAAAAACGGCTTTCAAGCCTCCAAATTTACATACTTGGCAACTGCACACGTGGCGATCGTGTGAGCACATTTCAGGCCGGTGGATATGAACGCATTTAAAAGTGAGCTGAGGAAAAGTAAACACGAAGGTCTGCCTTTGCACAGGGCACGTGGCTGCACTGCAACGTAATGACATGCTGTCCATCAGGTGCTTCGACAGTCGAGGCGTTTCCTCGTTATAGAAGAAAGCCTTCACCGTCCACGTTGTGGGTAGGCCAACTATTTAACCCTTTAAGGCTTCTTTGAGCGATACTCCTTCAAAAAAGACCCCTTTTAAGTCCCATAACAAACCTGTGATTTTTTCAACGAGGACTCAGATTAATTTTATACAGGCTCTATGCGGCTAGTGCCACAAGACAAAACATTTTCATGCAAAAACAGACGTGTATCTCGGTACAAACTTAAATCGCCCATGTTGTGAAAGCGTCGAAATCAGGAGATAAGTTGCGGTGAATGAGAGGCTTACGGAGTACCAAACAGTGATAGTACAAAAACCACATCATGCAAATTATGATCTGCCGAAGTGGTCACACGCACGGAAGATGACATGACTGCGATATTGCGTTGATTTTATGCTAATTAGTTTACTTTGCCATTCTGAATTAACAACAAGCACAACGTGCGCAAAGACAACAAAACTCACATTCTGTCGGAGGTTGCATGCAAGGGAAAGGAGAAGAAAAAAATACAGTGTGAGTATAAAATGATACTCAATAACAATCCGTAAATCGCGATAAATTGGCAGGTACGTAGTCCAAAGTAGTAAAGTGTCAACAATTAGCGCCAATACCACTGGATTAAAAAGCCCCTCCAATCCACATGAAGCACTATTGGCTTGGGAAGCTACTTGGCAATAATACTTTGATCCCTAGCCGATGGTTACGCGGTGTTTTAGCCACTGATATCTTGAGTGTCGTTCGTGTTTAAAAAGGACCAATCGAAGGCTCGCATCCCTACACGCAAGTATCGCAGTCCAATTCGACCTTGTCAACAGCAAACGGAAGTGTCGTCTACAATATTAGCCTGACTATAACAGACATGTGTAGACAACTATCCGCAGTGTCCCAGCAAAACATTAGCCTCTGTGAAACTACAGGCGATACACTGACACACTACTGTCAGCGAGTCAGCAAAACCAGCGGTTAACGCTTCCAGAGGAACTCAAAAAGCCACTGATTCAACATCTCCAGGGAATAACTTGGAGCCCATGACTAAGCCCAACAGCAATTTGGGTGATGAAATGCTCAAACATGCATCAGCATCATTCAAAATGAAGTGCACTACAAGCCCATTGACCTCACATTTTAACACTGCGAGTATCAACAGTGTTTAGTGTTTGATATTACGAGGGAACGCTAATCTAAGCGTTCATTTGCCTTATTGAAATACTTGATCCTTTAACTAAAATTAACTATTTTGGGAATCTAACCCCTAGCCTAGGATGAACCGAAACCACTAAACAGGAATTTCGGCTTACGCTGCCCATGTGCTGGCTAACTATCGCAACTATGACAAGAAATTAAGCAACTGCGGGATACGCCCACTTGCCACGGATGATTCACGCGTGCGAGATCGTTGAGATGACTCGCATGAATAATGAACATATCACTACCGCTGCCACTGGTGCTAGGACAAATGCTAGCAACTGGGGGGTCATAAGTGGACTACTTAAATAGAATCATACAAACAACAGACTCATTGAGGGGTTTTTGAGCTATTTTTCATTTACCTTGCTGACGTCAATCACTTGAATCTAGTGAGCAAACATTCTGCAGGGTTTGCTCACCGGACTCAGCATATGAATGCCCACAGTGAGCACTAAACCACTTGTGAATGACATCCTGGATACAAAATACAGGGGTGCACATAAGCAAACTAGGTTAATTCGACTTTAGGCCTTAATTGAGCAGCCACGTCGCTTATATTTCACCAGATAGAACAGGCGCATTCGTCGTGAGTCCAGTGAATGCACAAGACAACGCAGAGTCCAAGTCAATGAGGGGTTTGTGTTTTACAGAACAACTCCTACGTAAGCGAATTCGTTACCCCAATATCGCTTTCATCCAAAGAATTAACAGAAAATGCGGAACATTGAACACTCCACGCAGGCTTGGTGTTCAAAAGGGGTATGTAAATACGCAAAGCGCAATTACCTCTGAGTTTGTTAAGACGCAACTGAAGCACTGGGAATGCCAATTTAGAGGGCGCTACTACGTAAACAAACGTCAGAGTACATAAATGGGGGATTCTGAGAAACACGTGTGACCAAGGGGTCCTTTGAAAAAACGTTTTAGACCGAAATTAAGAGAAAAGATTCCAGCTATAAAACGTAGAACACCCATGAAACCATGGTTGACAATTTCACGGATGACCCTTAAATAATAATTTTCGCCTTGGAGGTGAGTGAGAAAGGGCAAACTGATTGAGGGTCCTGAAAATGCGCGATTCAAGAACGCAGGCAATCTCGTGCTTCCTACACATCGTTACAATCGCAGACGGGCAACAGAAGATCAGCATCGAAATAATGTCTTCATTGCCTTTGTAAGTAATCACTTGTTTTGGACTAAAATAGAATCTTCCACCTTAAAGTGTGGGCGCAAAATCTAGTTCAAAGATTGACCAAATTAAATCGCAACCAGAGTACTAGATCCATCCGTAGAGACTTAAGAGATACAAGTGAACATATTTCCAATGGAAAAATCTGGATTCAGGCTATCGCCTGTGCACCGAAGTAAGAGCCCCCAACCAAGAAAAAGCCTGTTGGATTGTGTGGAATATGGGGCAAACCCATTAGTACTGACCTAGACTTCAAATTTCGATTGGAAAAATTGGCAAAAAAATTACAAAAGAGTGAGGAAGGGTTGAGTTGACACGTCCTTGCAGAATGACACAATTTTCATACAAGCTTCGTTTAAACTCATCGGCAATTTAAAATCTCATCAAAGGATATATTACCTTGCACTGAACATCAACATTAGCCCGGAACTGTTTCACTAGTAGGTCCAGACAGCGGAGATTTCCAATTTTCGCAATGTAGTGAATGGCAGTCTGGAAAAAACCAACGAGAAGGTTGGCAAAGGCAACACCTAACCACAGGAGAGTTCAAAGTGCACCAGCACAAATAAATTGCTGCTTGTTGCACAAGTGACTGACATATTCAAATGGTGAACGAGTACACAGCAATGGAGATGCTTACCCACTGTAAGTGCCATTCAGTCGTGAGTTCGCCGTAAGATGTTCAAAAGAGCAAAAAGAACGAGAATGAGGCCAAAATGTAGGAAAACAATATTGAGAGGTACAGTGTTTATAAATTTTCAGGACTTACACCATCTATTGGATTCTGAAAAATGGAAACCGCATTCGGTGGTTAGGTGCTACAGTTCAAATTACAAAAGGCATTCAGCAACTACAGCAAAATCTCAGTCGATATAAACTTTGTCCCAGCTTGGATGCGCTTTGGAGGACCAATCAAAGCAGTTCTCCAAAAAATCGACTACAATTACCAAAAAGCATGCGAGACCAATTCCTCTACTAATTTAAGGTGCTGCAGTATTAATGTACGCTAAAAGCATTAGGGTTCAACAGAGAACCCTTGGCGGGAAAAAATAAGTATATACACTACCGACTTGAATCGATCTTGTTAACAAGAGATCATGATGGTGGTGCTAAGAAAAGATATGTGTGCGAACCCAGCGGGAAATCACCTATAAGAATAATTAAAAACTAGGGACTACCACAAGTTAGGCATAAACAGTACCAAGAACGCAATATATTGCTGTTAAATTAACTAATCTGAAGGCTTACTTTCCAATGCAAAATATTTGGCTCTTCTTTTAGAAGAAGAACCATTTCATGAAGATTGCCCGTCGTGGCAGCGTTCCACCACCGCTTATTCTGATCAGTCCATGACGTAAACGGCTCCATTAAGTGAATTTCCTAATAATAAAATCTAAAGTATTTATGCCAATGAAAGTATTTACATTTTGTATGGAACTACTATGGTACTGCAAGAAAAAGAGGCCAACTCATGTCAAATCAAATCGAACAGCAATTGTGTTGAATAGCTCTAACCACGAACAAATTCATTAATTTTGCATCATTTAGGATTAAATTAGTTTAGCAATGAAAGGCACACAAGCACTCAAATGATAAAGCAGGACGGTACACTACATATCAAAGCAACATTATGAGACCAGTAAATCACAAATACACAGGACGTTTGAGTAAAAAGTAAATACCAGAAAATAATTATATCCACACTACGCTTACTCTAAGACTTTTAATAAGCTCCTCCATATCCTCTGAACACCTGCTTGATAAGCTTCGCAATGTACTAGACTTTTTTAAGGAAGTCGTCAAGTTCGACCGCGCCCATTGTCGAAAATTCGAAGCAAGGTCCTACGATACATGAAAGAAACAATAATTTACATGGTAATTAATGAAACTTATGATTGTTGCCAAAACCAAGCCTACTTCATGAGTGAACCCGACTCCAGACATAGGGGAAAAATAAAAATCGGAACACAGTGAGCGAAGGAAGGGAGGCACACTTAACTCAATTTCTGCGCTGCACAATATTAACGAGTGATCGATAAAGTAAAACACAGGTAAATGCATCAGTAAAGGTCACACACATTAAGAAACTAAAAGCAAATATAAAAACAACTGGGCCTTAAATATGAAATAATTTTTTCATGCATTATAAATTAAAAGGCAATATAGAAATAGGTAAATGTCAATGAATAATAAAATTTTTCCTTGTAATCATGTTTGCTAATAATCAAAACTGCAATTTCATAAAAAAAATTATGAATTGTGGTTACCGTATAACATGACGGCTTAGAATAATCTCTCACCGGAAAATAATCATTCGAATAAAATCATTTTTAAATCACAATAATTAGACACGATTGAATGTGTTCAGGAGGTACTCCTTAAAATATGCATTTAATCTGTCGGATTAAAAAAAAATCATCAGATCCTTACCAATAAATTTGATCAATGGAAAGATCGCTTGAGCTTCTGTTTGCAAACTTGACTAAGGTACTAACGATTTCCATGACATCGAACCCAAATTACGACAATTTTAATGGCCGATTAAAGCATTGAAATCAATTGCTTGAGTCCCGACTTTGGTGGATTGATGGTAAATCGACTACCATCCTATATATACTTTATTAAGCTCCTTTTTTCCCCAATGCACTCACTTTCGTTAATTCTTTTAAATATCAACTCAAAAGATTTCTGCTTAAATCATATTCATGTTTAATGCCTATGGTTCTTTTTAAACTATGCCTGAGAAATTAAAATTAGTAACTTATGATCCATGCCAGACACATATGACATATCAGGTACCTCTGCAAAACAGTTACTTCTTGTGTTTCATTACTTTCAAATTATGCTGTTTTTGGTTGCTCCTACTTCTTTATACCACCATCCCCATGTGAACTCGTTTTTTTAATATTCTGGTGCAAACTGCCGGAGGCAATGTGCTGCTTTTGGAGGATCCTAGAATGGAAAAGTTCAAGTATTTAGTAGAAAAACAAGTTTAATGGCTAGACCTTCCGCTTCGAGTATTCATTTAGGCTAATCCACTTATTCGCATAGAGCATACATAGTTGCTTCCTTCCTTATTGTTTAAGACGGATGACAGAATATTCCATTAGTTTTATTCACCAACATATTATAGGACAGTATAGATAAATTGCATAATGTTGCTAGTATATTAAACTTGACTATATGATTTATTAAAAACGTTAAAAATTAACTAATCAACACGACATAATTAATTAAACCTTTTTCTTTAACACTGAATTCCTTTCCTGAATTTGCATTAGTAGTAATCAGTATTCAGGATCTACCTCGATTTGTTTTGGGATTGCTTTAATTCCTTTGGGGGAAGGACGATAGCATTTAAACTTAGGCCTGTGATTTCCGTGACAATGAATATTTAATTATGCCCCCATTATTCATGGAAGTGTAAATATGGAGAAAATACCTTTCTTTAAACGAGAACTTCAGCTACAAACCTATATGCGATTCATGGTAAAAATTGTCAGTGTCTTTAATTCCCTATACCAAGCTCATCGTCCCAGACACGCTGCAGTTGCTTTACCAGCCAGTTGAAGTGTCCGATAGCTCGATTTGAAAACACTTGAACGCAGCGAGATTGTTGAAATAAGTGCACATTTTGCCTCGGAGAGCAGGGCAGGTTTCAACAAGTGGGTTAGTTTGGAATCACGATAAGGCACTGGCACTGGAGACTGTGGATGTGCTGTGTTGTGTCGAAGAGCTTCAAAGACACGCGTTAGAACCGTAGCAGAAATATCGGGGTTTCTGAAGTTACAGAATATATTCCATGATTATTACGTACTAGCCTTAAAAGCAGATAGAATAACTAGATGCAATAATGAGTTGTCTACGAGTATTGAAACAATAATATTAACAAAGTCACTTTGAACAAGCAAAGATTGTGTATAACACTGCAGATTATTTTTAAATTTAAAGCAAACGAAATATTTTATGGAATCAGCGGGTTGATAAGTGCCAAAAAACACTTTCAGTGAGATCGCACCATATCCTAAATTGAAATAAAAGTAACACGTTCATTTTTGGGTCTATGCAAATGAGCTATTCTCGTACTACTTGTTTGTAATATTAAAGCCACGGCAATGTCGATAGGAATCCATTTTAAAAGCACTTTATAGCAGAGGCGAGTGGAAAATAATCATATCGTTTCGGTGACCAGAACATTTATACGCGACATTTTCAAAAAAGCAATTATGCATGCAACTTATCAGCTATGATTTCGTTTCTAATTTTGTCCACTTTTAATGCACATCTCCAAGCAAAATGAGCAAGCGTTGTTGCCGAATCAGTGACTGTCAAATTCTTGGTGTCACATTTTGCAACGCCCCTTGGTATAGGTTATTTTGGTTTTGTCGAAAACTAGACACACAAGTCAACATTGCTTCCCGTTGCTGATGTTTTGCAAAAGAAGGATTAGTATATTGTTCACTCTAGTTATATACCAGGAGAATAGTTCATGGTTTAAAATCTCATAAATGTCGCTTAGACTTGTAGTGGACTGACAGCCGCCCCGCGCGAGTGTGCGTGCATGAAGGCCCGTGTGTAGCGATGACTCATCCCCTTTTG